AAATACGTATCACTGGTTCACCATATTTAACGTAAGAACAAACAATATCTAGAAAAGTCAGTGTAAAACAAGAGCATGTGTTGAACTGGGACTTGGACTGTAGTTCCAAATACAACAGGTAATGCTCTGTGAAAGGACCTATTAGTGCTCCAAAAGATGAAGTTTGGTGAATAGTGTTGGCCAGTTGCTGTTTGCATGACACAACATTAGTAATGTCTGTCTTCATGACCAAACTTGACCAAAGTATCTTGTCTTCTTCAACATGGTCTTTTTGGTTTTGCAGTTCAAAACAGTTCAATTCAATTTGGCTCAATTCAATTCAACTCAAAACCAGACATGAAACACAATTCCCAGTCCTTCTGATTCATGCACTGAGTTTACAGTTATTTCTTGATCTTGACTTGAGTCACTTCCTCAAAAAAATTTGGCTCAAGTCAAAACATTTGGTGACTTGTTGCAACTTTGTGCCACTCATTTGGCGAACGACTCATCAACTTCTTTCATCCTGGCAGCCACTCGCCTGTGCTTGAGCAGCTCAGCCCGGGTCTTCCAGAGCTGCAGGTACACCCACATCAAGCAACCATTGCCTTCCTGGCTGCAGCTCTGGTCGTGCTTCAGTATATTCTGCATCCCGACGTACAGTCCGAGGTCCTTGTCGTACGGTTTGAAGTAGGCAGAAAACAGGAGCTGCGACTCCAACTCCAAACGCGGGCCGCGGTACTTGAAGGGGTTACAGTAAATGTCCTGGCGCTGTTTGAGCAGGGGCCGCAGCTCCTCCAACTCTGTCAGAATCTTCTGTGTGGCCTGGTTCTCCTCCTTTATGATGGCCTCCTCCAGGAGACAGCGCCGTTTGATGGTTGTCATACTAGTCTTCTCCTCCAGCTCAAGACGTCTCTTGCTCAAGTTTTTTACCTCATCTTGTAGGAAGTCCACATCCTCTTTCAGGTCTGCAATCCTTTCCTTTTCCTTCTGCAGCTGATTCAGCTGGATGCTGATTCGTCTCTGGGCCAGCCAACCTTTCCAGAATTCAAAAATAAAAAACTCTCATTACTACTACATTACCTGCTTGGACTGCAAAGACATCAACATCGTTATTATCTGTCCGTGGAGGATGTGACAGCTTTTGCTTTTTGCAAGTTGTATCACCTGCTAGATCAAGACCAATGTCGCTAGCTTTGCACCCAACGGAGCAGAGCTTTCTCATACCATGACTGGAATAACCTAGAGGATTCCAGAACGTTACATGAGTTACTGGTTGATTTGCACCTCTTCAACAATGACCAGCAAACTGAAGTCTTCCCTCCTTCCTTGAGGGTTTTTTTGATAGCGATGGACTATCTCTGCACATCTCGTGGAATTTGGTCGTGCAAGCCACATGTAATAACAAGAATTCTAAGTAACAGTTAGAAACACACTCAGATGACAAACGGAAACAAGAGAAGGCGTGTTTTCACAAACCAGCAGTGATCCTTTGGTGGGAACTCATCCTGTGCAAACACAGGCTCACGCGCAATCCACGCTGCACACTGCCGCCATAGGCATGCACAGCCTCAATCTGACACCTTTACACAATACAGCTGGTTCATTGATTTGCGTGTATGTTTTTGCTTAGTAATTTTAAGCGTGCTGCATTAGTTCTTATACCATGCGATTGGACAATATTTCAAAAAGTTGCATTGACACAATTCTGACACGACTGTACAAGTTGCCAGTTCGAGGCACTGCATGCCTATGGCGGCAGCGTGCAAAGAGCAAATGGGCGCAGGGCACACTGAGCAAGTGTGTCAGACTGTACGCTCATCATGTGTGTGCACTGGGTGCGTTCATGAGCTTGACTGACAAACTTCCCAACAGCCTGGCTCTTCTTTACCAGTGAGGGTGCACTTCAACCGTGAGTGGATATACATATACTGTGTAGTAGTCATTGATTCTGTCCTCTAATCCACAAACACTGTTGACTGCAATTGCAAAGGCTTTTGTTGTGTACACATGGAACTCCCTCCTAGGAAAGTCAGGGGTGTTGTTAGTCATTCCGTCACTAACAAGTCAAACCATTCATCAAGGTGCCTCTTCACCTCTCCCACCAGCAGAGGTAACCCTAACCCCCTAGGGACCATTGAAACCCTGCCTAACCTTGTTGGGTTCAGCATGGTTGTCCCTGAACCCTTGACATATTACTCACCAAAGAAAATGCTGGATGCTGGCAGCAAGACCGGGATGAGTAACTGGGATGCAATGCGACTGAGCTTCTTGCCGATCGGTTCCTCAGTCGGTGGGATGTTTAGATCGTTGGTCGCCATGGTTACAGCAGTGAACTTTCTCTTGTACTGTCATAGCAACTACACGTACACTTCATCTGAGGAAAGTTCTAGATGTTAATGTCCAAAAATTGTGTTACCAGGTATGTATCAAATGTGAAGCAAAAATGCTGAAAAATATGCAGCTGGATCACAGCAAAATAAAACAAAAGTTCTAAATTTAATTTAAACTAATACATGTATTAAGGGGGTTGAAGCCTGAAGGATTCAATACCCACTTAAGGAGTAAGGAACCCCTCCTCTTTTAGATCAGGTCTAGTATACTCATGCATCTGGTCATGTAAGAGAGGACCGTACAGTATTTGAAAGTAATGTAAGCCTTCACATTGTCATCAATATTAGGTTGCTAAGTTCCATAAGATGAAATATGTCATAATTTTTAAATGAAGTATCCAAGCGAAGAACCACTATGCCAACCTGACTCCCCCAACCTGCCTCCTTGAGGTGGTTTCATTTAGGAAGACACCTTGAAGTGGTTTCCTAACTGAAGCTACCTCAAGAAAAACTGATGCCAGAATTGTACCTTAGTGTTCTTCAAGTAAATTCATGTGGAAAAGTCATCTAGGAGATGAAACAAAAAAATTCTTTCATGACCTTTCATGTCCCTCATTTTTGTTCCTGTAGCTGTTCCTATATGCAAAGGAGAATGATTAACATGAGAACAGATGGGAGTCAGGTTGGCGTGGTGGTTCTTTTGTTGTCTTCCACCTCTGTACCCAGGTTCCAATCCCTTGTCCCTACCCGATTCTGTGGGTGTTACTCAGAATATTCCTCTTTTTTCCCACACCTTTTAAAACTGTAACTGCTTCTCATTGTCTCCTCTCTACAGGTTTCTGCAGGCTTGTGAGTTACAGTGCCTAGGGCGCCTTTGACTGAGGAATCCTTGGTGTCATTACCAGAATAATTAATAATAGTAAAAATTTACAACTGGAGTTGATGGGTTCTGGATTCGGTTGAGCTGACCTGATACAATTCTTGTCAACAAAGTTACATTTAAGATGGCCTTTACTCTAAAAATATTTGGTATTTGAGTACGTGTAAATGATTTTTTATTCCCTTAAAAATTATAAATGCGCTTATTTGTTAGAGGATTGTATATTTGGGGGACCCCCCCAGTTTTTTGTCATTTTCAGTCTTGCAAAACTGGTCAGTCCCCACAAAAAACAAACGCAACACTCTCTTTATTGCACAGACCCAATTTTTTGGGAAATGAGACTTTCTTACATGTCTTACCGATAAACTAGCCATGCAAATTTGAGTACTGTGCTTGTAAATATTTTACAAAGGCTTTTTTTCAGAGCTGTATTTTTAAAGCAGAAAATAAACGATAGAAATCCAAATTCGAACATTTTTGTGTGTTGGTCCCGGAAGAGCGCCAATCGGGGGGGGGGGTGGGGTCAACAAAGTTTCCGGGTCCGTCTACAACGTGTACTCGTAATTTTGGGTAAGGTACAAACATTAAATGCAGATCACCGGATTTTAGGTCTACGTCTTCCGCCTCGGAGATGGCATTAATACAGAAAGTAGTATTTAGGCCTACCTCATCATCTGGCCCTGGCGAAAAATGGAGGGTTGAACTTGGAAACCTGTCTTTTCCTACTTACATGTACATGTACCTCTGGCCCTCAGTGTAGAGTGATAAATAATACCCACGGTGACCGAATCAAGCGAAGCTGTATAGCGCCCTCATCAGACCAGAAGCAGAAAAAGCGCAACGCGTATGGTAAGAGTGGCTGGCTGGTGCGCTGCCCTGTTTAGTGTCATTGCCGACACTGCGCAGTCCAACTGCGACCAAGTGTAACGTGAAGGGGTTAGGAAAACCCGTAGCGTGGGGGGGGGGAGGATGTGAGGATCAGAAAAAGACACCCATGCTTCCCTCTATAAAATAGCCAAACGCCCGAATAAAAGACCCCACGGGATCCTTGGGTCATTGTCGTAGCCACGGGGGCATGCTAGTTCCCCCTTATGCCTCCCCCACTTGTAAAATCCTAGCTACGCCGCTGCCTGCATTGTAGCTTAACATTAACTCAAGGCGCGCTTGGCTGCATGGAAACACGACGCACACACACCGTCGAAAACTACCGCTGTACCAGCGCTGGTAGTTTTCGTCGTGTCGTGCGTATACGTCGTGTGTCCAGGTAGCCACACGCGCCTGAGTGTAGCCCTGTTGGCAGACAACAGACGGGGTTCTTTCTTTTTTCGCTGACTTCAACGCCAAATATAAAGCTCAAAATACTTTGGGCGTATGCCTCCCCTAAATTCAAAATGGAGGGGCATTACACTAGCAATTAATTCTCAAGACATGTCAAATGCTTCTAATACATGTAACTACTTTACACAAATATGTCCTTCTCCTATCCTAAATATTTCTGATACTAATCAAAGTGCATATCTAGGTGATCCTAACGTAAATTCACAATTTCTTACATCTATTTATACTAAACTGACATTTATGATAAGAGTCTGAAAGTAAAAGGTGACCTGCCTATACGGGGATGTTTCATTGGGCTGCCCCACGGTTCTTTACTTGTAGGAAAATTAACTTCTTATTGGAGATACCTCAGGAAACAAACACGTCCGGCATGTCCGAAATCTATATTTAGTTCAAATAAAATCTTGGAAAATTACCTACAGAGACGGGTAAAAGGGATTTCACGTATGACCTTTCTCATCCGACCGCTGTCGCACTGGGTCTCCGTGTTCGCGCACGTTTTAACAAGACCATATAACGTTGTGAAAGCTTACCCACCTTTAGCAATGGGCTTAGATTTAGTTGGGCTGGCCAAGTGTAGTTCTTTTCAACAAAAGTTACAGATTAGACTTTGGAAAATTCTTTTACGAAATGCTGATTATTCTTGTAAATTTTTGTTCGAAAAAATTAAATTCAACTTTACTTAATACGGTCTTCTGTTTCCATTTCATGTTTAACTGAAGATCACCACATTTTTCCTAAGATCTTCATTGCGTAAATACATCTAGTGCAATGAGTGGCACGAGTTATCGTGTATTTAAGATATTTAAAAGTCGGAGGTCAGTATTTCTCTTTCAGGTTAGACATTTGTTTATTAAACTTTATATGCTGGAAAATAATTTACAAAAATGTATTACAAATATGAGTCTTGNCGGCCTGGCGCAGAATTTTCCTTGAATTGGGACACTGCACCCGTATGTGCCCCTAGGATGGTAAGAGTGGCTGGCTGGCTGCCCTGTTTAGTGCCGTTGCCGACACTGCGCAGTCCAAATGCGACCAAGTATAATGTGTAGGAATTAGGAAAACCCGTAGGGTGGGGGGGTGTGAGGATCAGAAAAAGACACTCCTCCCCCTGATGAAATAGCCAAACGCCCGAATAAAAGACCCCACGGGATCCTTGGGTCATTGTCGTAGCCACGGGGGGCTGGGGGCATGCCAGTTCCCCCTTATGCCCCCCCCCCACTTGTAAAATCCTAGCTACGCCGCTGCCTGCATTGTAGCCTAACATTAACTCAAGGCGCGCTTGGCTGCATGGACACACGACGCAAATGCACGACGAAAACTACCGCTGTACCAGCGCTGGTAGTTTTCGTCGTGTCTTGCGTATACGTCGTGGGTCCAGGTAGCCACACGCGCCTGAGTGTAGCCCCGTTGGCAGACAACAGACGGGGTTCTTTCTTTTTTCGCTGACTTCAAGGACGGCATTCTCGCAAACATAAACAATCAGGCCATTATAATATCTTATTAGGGGTGATTTTAATGAGATCTATTCCAAACACAAGACATATCTTCCGTAAGTATCTGAGAATGACGAAACACAGTATTTCCATCCTTTGGAAATATCACTTTATCGAACTGAAAGGTTTAAACTTGATTTAGATAATGCAACTTGGGGGTTTTACCTCCTTGGATGACTCAAGCTTTGATGACTTTTACCGCACCTAAAAAGTATTAAAGCTCAGGCCATGGACGACCGACGGAATAATAAACCCAAATAAACATAAAGAATAAACTACCCAAAAATATTTGAGAGGTTTCTGCAATCAATTCGTTTCAACACAAACGTTCAAAATGCATCGCTATATGTCTCAGCTTACCTTATTTTCAAGTTTGTTTCACTATTTCAAAGGGTATTTGCTGCCTTTTTGGCTTTTATGCTGATGATATTTCCATATTCAAGAGCCAAACTGATAGCCCCAGGAAGTAAGCCTCGATGTTACATTGGTATGAACACAAAAGCCCTACATTTTGCAGAATTTGCTGAACAAAATTTTCTCTTCTTTGCTCATTCCTTGTTGTTTATGTGCATAGTAATATGCAAACACCAACCCCCTTCTCATAAATCTTTTCTATACGTGCACTTTTCAAGGCATTTAACGAAATAGGAACGTAAAGAGTTTTCATCAATTTAAGAAGAGTACAAAGTTGTAGAAGTTGGCTGAGTCAAAGAAAACTTTAGTGTAGTTGCCCTTTAAAGTAATCAAATTCCCAGTAGCTTTGTTACAAGTTTTTCTGTAATAGGTTAATATTACTTAATTATGATAAAGAAGGTAAGTTTTTTTTAAAAAAGCCAAATATAAAGCTCAAAATACTTTGGTCGTATTGCCTCCCCTAAATTCAAAATGGAGAGTCATTACATTAGCAATTAATTCTCAAGACATGTTAAACGCTTCTAATACATGTAACTACTTTACACAAATAGGTCCTTCTCTTATCCGAAATATTTCTGATACTAATCAAAGTGCATATCTAGGTTATCCTAACGTAAATTCACAATTTCTTATATCTATTTATACTAAACTGACATTTATGATAAGAGTCTGAAAGTAAAAGGTGATGTGGCGAACAAAAGCGCGACATGCCTATACGGGGATGTTTCATTGGGTTGCCCCACCGTTCTGTACTTGTAGGAAAATTAACTTCTTATTGGAGATACCTCAAGAAACAAACACGTCCGGCAAGTCCGAAATTTATATTTAGTTCAAGTAAAATCTTGGAAAATTACCTGCAGAGACGGGTAAAAGGGATTTCACGTATGACCTTTCTCATCCGGCCGCTGTCGCACAAGGTTTTAACAAGACCATATAATGTGAAAACTGACCCACCTTTAGTTAATTTTCCTACAAGATTTAGTTGGGCTGGCCAAGTGCAGTTCTTTTCAACAAAAGTTACAGATTAGACTTTGGAAAGTTCTTTTACGAAATGCTGATTATTCTTGTAAATTTTGTTCGAAAAAAAATTAAATTCAACTTTACTTAATACGGTCTTCTGTTTCCACTTCATGTTTAACTGAAGATCACCACAATTTTCTTAAGATCTTCATTGCGTATACATCTAGTGCAATGAGTGGCACGAGTTATCTATTTAAGATATTTGAAAGTCGGAGGTCAGTATTTCTCTTTCAGGTCAGACATTTGTTTATTACTTTATGCTGGAAAATAATTTACAAAAATGTAATACAAATATGGGTCTTCNTTCGGAAGTGATTTTTTAGAGAAGCAAATAAATAAACAAGAACTAATTTTTTTCCCACATTATTTTTCTTATCGAATAGGAAAACTTCATAGGTTTGGGAAGCACGCCATTATAAATGTCAACTTTCAGGCTCAAAAACAAGTCCCCTGGCATTTATCCAACCAACCGGGACTGATCAAATCTGTCATAATTTACAAAAAAGATCCGCTGTACCAGACATTATCCTTGTCAAAAAGGCGAATTTCCCGGAAAATGTAAAAGTTGCCCGAGTTACTCCCATGTCAAAATGGAGATCCTGTAGAGTAAGCTCAGTTGCCTATTTACTGGTAGATTTCAGTATTATTTATAAAATCCTTGAAAGAGTTGTAACAATTGTACTGTAAAATTCTTCGATAAACACAGCCTTATTTCATTCAACCTATGCAGTTTTCGATCTAAGTACTCAACATCAAAGGCACAAGTAGAGTTTGCAGAAAAAATAGTTTAAGGTTTTATAGGTGAAATGTCAAATTTGACATTTATCACATTTTTTTTCTAAACTTAACTTTATACTATACAGTACACATGCAGTTGCTCATAGCTGGTGTAAAAGTTATTTGCATTACCGTCAGCAATAAGTAAAGATTCGTAACTGCCTATTCTGTGGGGATTCTTTACAAGGACCTCTATTCTAATTGATATAAACCAACGACATCTCAAAAACGTCGACATTTCCATGATTCGTTTCGCATGCAGTATCTTTCACAGCAACAAAAGTCTTGTCTCCCTCTTGCAATTGCATGATTTTTAGAAGCAGCGAAGGGGTATAGTAAATTCATCAAACCTTCACATTGTATTGAATGAAACATTTTGTTAAAAAGGTCAACAAGTCTACATTTTGGTAGTTTTTATTGAAGATAAATGGACTTGGAAGTTTCACATTGACGGAAATTCGAGTGATTAAGTACACATTGATTGTACTTGACTTTTTCTCAATGGTTTCTCGCCATGTTAAAAAACTATCAGAGTATCCATTGTAAGAGGTCTATTGGAGAAATCGGTAGACTTAAAGCAGATTGTTTCTCCTGAAGGCCTCAAATCTATTTACTCTTCATTATTACTTCCTTACTTTTCTCATTGTAAGATTGTTCAGAAATACTCTTCGTAATAACTTCTAGAAATAATTGCTCTGGCAACAAATTGTTCACATTTTAACAAATTTATCATTTAGGGCTCACAGTCAACCAATTTGATAGAATTAAGGATAAATAACAAACTTTATATTTAATAACATTTGTCACTCTATTATGCTTAATATCAACTTTTACACAATTGTAATTTCAGAGCTTCATCTGACTAAACTTAGGCTACGCTTCTTGAAAACCTTTGCCCGTCATGTTACGGCACGTGAAAAACCCCAACCGCGACATGTATAGCTTTGAATTTAGCACACATGGATGCATGCACATTTTCAAATTTAGACAATGTGAAAGACATTAGTAAAATTGCATCGACTGCAAACGGCGTTTTTGAAGGCGAGGCCGTTGTGCACGACTCGCAAAAAATCACTTTTTGTGCAACGCCAAGCCAACTCCTAGCACTGCCACTGTCATTACCAGCAGGGGTCCCGACCATTGCTTCACATTAGTCCAGTGCGCCCTCAGAGTGTGACAACAGTTTGTCGAGCTAGCTACGCCTGACCTCCCGTTGGTTAGTCTGCCATAGGTGGTGCTGTTGCTCCTAGTTGTGTCTGTACATTGAAGAAAAACAGAAAAAAAGGTGTTCTAACTTCCACATTATTCAATGAAACCTATAACTTGATGTAATAATGCAAGATCTGCAGACCTGGGACTACTGAGTCTGCTCTTTGTATGTGATTATGCGTATTTCTACCTAACCATAGAGCGGCGGGATAACTTGTTACCTATGCTAAGGAATGATTCGGTGTTAATCATCTCTGTACCAGCTAGTGCCTGATCTATATAAAGCCATGCAGTCGATGACCTCACGTTTGCAGTTTAATGAAAACCTTCGTCCTCACACAACAGGTACACATTAAAACATGTCTCGTGCAAAGTAAAAGGTTTAAAAGCGTACTATGATTGTCAGAGGCAGACGCAAGACTTGGCTTCCAGATATCTTTTCGTGGTGCACTTTCTCCCTTCATTTCCGCTAAGAAAGAGGCCCAGTCTGGTTCCTTCCTGGGTAGTAGAATCTGCATGTGGTTCCAAAACCTTAGGGGCAATAAGACGCGAGGCCAATCTATAATTTTAATATATGCATAACTACGGGTTGAAGAGCTAGTGGCCCCATTAAACATATACGACCTATTTGAAAGTTTGAATGTACATCAACACGCATAGGTGACCAAAGCGGACCCTCTTAAAACATGAGATCACCTCCATGCGTCCACTTGACGTGGGCTCGGCGGTTTTGACGCTTTAAAGATGCGTGCAAGTCAACTTGAAAGTTTGGTGTTATGAGTAGCAATCAGTGGTGTAGCCACGGGGTGCCCCCCCACTAGTAACATCCTAGCTACGCCAATGGTAGCAATGACTACCTGTTTTTACAATGAGGGCCTGATTGCCCAAACAGGCACAAGAGGCACTGTTGTTGGGACTTCTGAAAAATTCCAGGCATGTACGAAGATATGCCTCTCATGATACATGTGCATTTCGATTACCGGAAAACCTTCAAACTAGTTACTGTATAGCAGGCTACAGCTACTGCATAGCTAACATGAAATGTGAGACCTCCAGCTCTTACCAGCGCAATGAAATTGGTGCTGGTGCCTATTCTTGCGACACTGGGCGTGCGACTAGCCAGTGGTGTAAGTGGGGCTCTCATTTTGCAGGGGAGTGCGCACGTGGGGGCTCTCATTTTCTGGAGGGGCACTCAATTGGTTCAGTCACAAGACAAATGTGGACTAATACCAGATATTCCCCTCTAAGTTTTAAAGGGGGGGGGGGACGCGGGGACACAGGCCCCATGATCTCTGTAGTTCTTTCTGCCACTGTGTCTATTGTAGTGTTCATGGAACACCTAATGCGGCCCTATTGACAAAACGCGAATTGCATTTATCTGTGATGCTGCATATATACAACAGACAATGGATAACCATCAAAGGTGGCTTAACAGATCCTGTAATTAACCTCTTTCGAACAATTCAATTGCTCATTTCAACTATAGATGTAATGGGAATTGTTTCTTCCGTTGCAGACTTACAAATAGTGGAACATGTCAGGCTCACGGGAGATGCGATTGTTGAAGCCGATATAAAGGTCGTCCCAGAAAAGACCCCATCGCACCGTCTGACGGTGTACCCCAATACGGTTCTCCATCTGAACAATTAAAGGAATGAAAAAAGAAAAAAAAAGATTAGAAGCCCGCACTCGGTCGTTTCCTTCACTTTCTTTCTCAACTAATAAGAAAGGTTTTTGTAGTGTAAAACATGGACTCATGAATATCGCCCCAGCTTATAGTATCGCGCATACTTAATTTCAACCAGGCACTCGTGTGAAGCTAGGATTTCATGCATCCTTGAGACGGAATTCCACGGGGTCCACGTTTCACTCGGTGTGTCAATGATCATTAACTTACTCAGCTAGCTACGGGTAGCACTTTGCCGAGCGGACTGCAAGAGCAAAAAAATTTCCTATTTGGAACGTGTCGGAGAAGCTTGGAAAAGTTTCTTTCAGTAAGGCCGAGTATAGAGCCTGCTTTTTTGACGTCACAAACGTGTTTTTCAAACAGGTGACTGCTAAAACCATGGTTGGCCGTCGATACAAAAATAAAAAAAACACAAAGTGTTAAGAATCCCGCGCAGCAATCAGAATACTGGATAATAATGCATGTATTACTAAATATTTACTAAGAATACAACCCTATTCAAAATCGATGAGACAAATGTCTATTTGAACGAATTGGAGGTAACATCGAAAACCAACCCAAAGGTGATATTTCTGCAAACTCTGGCCGCCCATACAAGTTGTAGGCAAAATGAGAGTGGTCTATAAAGAATTATTAGTTTTCTCATAATGACTCAGACAGTGTTTATTTGAGCTCTCAGGCTGGGCGCAAAAGTCGTGGCTGCGGCAGGCAGTCACACGCATGTCTATGTAAGTGGAAGTTGCCATTGGCTTATGGTTGAAATATATATGCCAATCATACGTTTGAAGCCAAACCACGGTGGTTGTGCGCTTTTTGTATTGCGCATGTCTGGTGTGTATTAGACTCACATTGTAGCCGTTCATCGGTATATCAACAGTAAAAACACCGCCAACTTGTGTGAATTGCGAGAGTCAAGCCCTTACGGAATAATGGTTTGTGATGTATGGGGTGTGGGTTCGAATCCTGGGTCAAAATTGAAGACAAGGAGGGTTTTCCAGGAAACTAAAGCCCGAATATTGTAGGAGCCTAATTTCACACGTGAAGTTTTCATGGTTGGTTGAACATCATAGATGTCATGCATGGTTGTGAACCGTGGTTTGGCTTCATACGTGTGATTGCATATATGGCTCTCATGGATATAATCTGGTTAGTAAGTGACTTCGTCACAAAGGCGCACGCGCCACGATTTGCACGCTCCCATTGGACGATCGCTGAAGTTGCGCGTTAACTTTCGGTTCCATGGTTCTATGGGTGAGTTCGATTAGCTTAGTTAGTCTAACTTACACGAGAGCGTTTGTTTAGCCATCACGTGATCTTCGTGCCTGCCCTGGTGTCAGCCACCTCTACCCCGGCTGGCGAGAGGGTCTCTGGAGGCTGCCCTAGTGTAATGACGTCACGGATGGACTGTTCGAGCATGGACATGATGGAACGTTGCGGGGACTGGACGTTTTTCGCAGAATGCCTTGGCGAATACACTGCAATGTTCGATTAGCTTCATTTCGAGGCTTCCCTTGCGTGTAACACCGGCGTATTCAGGGAAGCTAATCGAACGCACCGTGTGTAAACGACGATCAATGGACGTACTCTATGTGCTGTGCAGTGGGCGTGGTTTAAACTGAAGTGACGTCACACTTACGAACCGGGTAGGTGCATGTGCTATTCCCTGTCATAGACTTATTGTTGTGACGCAAGATCGGTACCAAGGCTTTCTCGTATGGAAAGTTCACATTATTTGTTTGTAGCTTCTTATCTCAGGGAGCTGTGCTCAAGATTTTTAGTCTATGATGAGTGCAATGAAGAGGTATATGTTCGTTCTCAAAATGAAAAACACATGTTAACCGAATGACGTCAGACAACATGCGCACCTCAAGATAATTATGTTCTCTTTCTGGTCGCTCTGATGGGAAGGTCGGTTCCTCTCCAAGAAAGTCAACTAGAAAATCGTAGCCTCCAACAACGGGCTGAAAATCGTCATCCCTCTCAATCATCTATAAAAGAAACACATTAAACAATGCGTCTCGGTCAATCTCAATATCCCTTCTGCTTGCTCCTGTGTGCGTGACTGGATGAAGGAAAATCGCTAGTGAAATAGGCAAATTACTTTCGCATCTATAGATATGGTATAGGATTTACAAATTGACAACGACACACCAGCACAGCATAATCAAACAATAAAAGTGTTACTAATGTAGACAGATCTGAATTTTCAAACATTACATCTCTTATGACGAATCTTTCTGACAAAACAAATAATTTTTTTGGAAGTAAGCCTTTTTTTTAAGAAGGGGCTTAAGTTTTGTTTTCCTTAAAGAATCCGTAATGTAAATTTCGTCTTTAGAACGTTTTGTGCAATTTCTACCCCTCTTAAATGTAAGAAAATATCATAAATGTCCATTGGCTCCTCTCATTACAAAATATACTCTTTAAACATTCATAATTCTTCTCCTGACAAACGAGGCTGAAGTCATTCTTGGAAGATACAATTCATTATAGGGGCTTCTGTTTAAGAGACCAAAATGTGCTCATTCAAAATATTCATTAGAAAACTTTGCTCACACTGGCTAACTGTAATGAACTGAAAAAACAAAGAACCATGAAAGTAAACAAACTTACGTATTCAAAATAAAATCTTGGAAATTTCTGGTACCAAAAAGAGCTCTAAAGCATGGGATTCTGCCACAGACGAAATCAGCTATGCAAATTTGCATTCGCATAAAAACAAAAAAGGCAATAAAATGACCTTTAAATGGATAAAAGGGGCACAAAAGAATATATACCAGATCTGCGTCATACACTCACTTTGTATGGTTCCCTTAACTCAATGTGTTTGAACAAGACAGTTCGCCCATTTCCAATTAATTATACGCCCAATTAACGAATATAAGCATTTGAATCTGTTGTCTATAGGTCAAGGGCTTCAGTCCTTTGAAAAAAATGGGCGAGAACGCAGTGACAATAAACTTAGCCGTAGCCCTGAAAGCCTGTTTGGACACGGCCTTACCGAAGTTTCCAACTGAAGTTAGTCAACACGCGTTCCTGCAAGTTATGGCAATATTCACCCAGTTTTATATAATAAACAATTAATTAATCAAACTGATAAGCAAGTGTAGAAATATGCCAACTGTCACGTTGAACCGGACATAAATCTTTTTTTATCCATATTTTAAAAATAAAGGTATCACCATTTTAACTTAATACAGAGGGGTCACACTTGTCAAAAACTCGGAGGATGATAAAAGATGCCTACAAGAAATGAAATAGCTGGACACTGAAATCTGAGCACATTGCTGGTTATTTTACCAATTCCCTCAAAGTTTAAGGAAAAGTGCATCAGTAGCAAGTGGGAAAAATTTATATCAACCACATCAAAATTAGAAATATGGTGGAAAACGTTTGGAGTGATAAAAGGTAATCCAAAGTGGGATGAGAGGTGACAAAATATTATTTCAAAGGCGGGCCGATGTTGTGTATTTGCCGATAGATAGACAGGATCGAAATCGTTTAATTCTTTCGCAGATGGATAGGATTGGTTGAAACTCTTTCATTCAGATTTTAATAGCAATCTGCACTCAAAACGCTGGAGCATGAATAATCCAGAATTTATCGAGTTGTACCCCTCTACAAGGCTGAGATCCGCCATCCGCCACAACCACATTTTCGGGGTGACTTGTGAATTATTTTCCAACTTTACAAGAGGGTTACTGGGAGCGCTTACCCTGATAACGAGGTTGTAGTTCTTGAACCCCGCCCATCTGTAGTAGAACTGGATCCACTCTGGATACGCAAAGATCTCGTCTTCAATGTTAGAGTTGATCTTGTTGACGTATTTCTCAAAATCCCAGCTGCAGGATAAGTACCAGAGTTTACATTCGAGTCACAAATCAAAGTCTCAACTGATATCTTCCATTGTGACAGTATATACAGCTATCATGACTGCTTACCAAAGCTGAGCGCATTTTTGTTTTTGATCAGACTACAACAGGAGATCAACAACAGTGTGTTCTGTTTGTTCTGTGCCTTGTCTATCTTTGTGTGCAACATAATTGTGTTAATATTGTGTGAAACGTTTTAACATTCAATGTTTGCTTCGACGTTATCGTTAAACAATATTATTGATGAATACAAATACCACGTCTATATCCCATCCTGGTAATCGCCCACACCTGTAAGTTTTAAGGCCGGTTCATACTTCAGGCAAATGCGAAAGCGAAGCGAATTTGACGAAACAAAAGATTTCCAACGAAATTTCGCTCGAGTGAAAATATGTTCAACTTTCGCGAATTCGCAACGCGACTACTGGATCCAACGTCACAAACTCGCGTTTGTGTTCGCTTTGGTGTGAAGGCCGCTTCATACTTCGGGAATCTGAACACATTTCAACTCGAGCGAAATTTTGCTGCACATATTTAGTGACGTCAAATTCGCTTCGCCTTTACTTCGCCTGCAGTATGAAGTTAACTGGCCTTAAATTAAAAGGGTCCCATGTTTACCAGCTTTGCTTCTTTTGAGCCCCTCTGCAGTTTTCACTCTCCTTTGGTAGAATAATTTTCGAGATATATCTACGCGTATATATTTGTGAACGCTGTGGAAATAAATGAACTGAACTGAAAATGGGCGTAAATCCCTATGGCGGATCATATTTCTCCCACACTTTCTGACTGAGCGGATGGGTTACTGAATCATTCCGCCCGCATTTTTACGTGCTGAGAAAAAAATTAGGTTTAATGTGAAGAATTGTTTGTAGTTCCGAACAACCACAATAATATTCTAGTTGTAAAGAGCCACAAATACCGCACTGATGTAAAGTTCTGCAGAGGTGTACTGTACATCTGGATCATGAACATCGTCCCTGAGGGTGATATGGTGTCAGTACCCCCCACAGACTTTTCAAATTTCCATGGCCGGGTAAGTCATCTGCCCCCTACCCCGTCCCCCAGTTCCCAGTACAAATTTACGCCACTGGAACCGAACTGGACTGAGATAGGCCTATGACTTGCTTTACCAACATTTCCAACTCGGGGAGACAGTTGTAAAATATCGCTAAACTAACCGGCTTCGGGATGGAGGTGGGAGGGGCGAGTTGAGTGGAATTAAACTTAGTTGAAGAGCCATGTACGTGGCTAGAATTTGAATTGCGTCTTTTTGCCCTGGTACGAGGACGACCAGAGCACACTGGTCGAAACGTCGAGTTCACACTCAACAGTTCACACTCAACAGTTCACACTCAACAGTTCACACTCAACGGTTATCAGAACCATAACTCTTTCAAAAGAGATCCATCCACACGGTGTTACGGCAAGCCCTCTCTTTAGTCTATATCCACCATGGAAAGCTTAAAGTTTTATCTAATATAATAATGTAAAGCTTGAACTACTATTCAACAAACTGAGTTGTACTAGTTAATAAAGTCGTCATGTAGTAACGTAGTTTAATCACTCTTATTACCTGTCTTTGAAGACTTTGCTTCCTGCTGGAGGATCATGAATGAAATCACTGTGGCATAGAAAACAGTTGAATGCAGTGCGGTTAGTAGGCATATTTGGTTTGCTTGTTGGTTTGTCCGTGGTTGACAGGTTTGTCTTTTGCTCGAGTTATCATTTATTTTTTTCTTGACTGGTCACTTATCAGCCATCTGGTCAGTCAGTTTTGCGAGTAGATATTTAAACAGTCAGCCGATCTAACACGGCTGCCTATCTGACAGACGTGTTGGTAAGAGAGTTATTGGATCGGCAAAACGGTCGACGGGCCTGTTTTCCGGGCCATGGCTCTGCCATGCCATTGACCATTTGGGTCACTCATCTCTAGAAGTGACAGCCATTTTAAGCTTACAAGTGAGGTTACAGTCAGCAGGTCATTCAGGGACAATAAGTGTTCCATCGGGAAGTCACAAGCCAAGTCACCAGTATTTTGTATATTAACCCTAAGTTGCCGACATCCTTTTTTGGCACTGGTAACCGATGGAACCTTGCTTATAATGATGCTAAGCAGAGCACCAGCTAGTTTTGCTTAAGTATTCCAAACATGGCACCCTCTGTTGCTTTCGTAGATCTTAATTGTTCCCCCCCCCAAAAAAGGAAATTTGCAGCACCTGCAGAAATTCCTTGCAATACCCACAAGCAATTGCACTGGTATATTCTGAAGCTCAGGTCGTCGTTCAAGATCGAATTCACATATGGGCCCATGACATGAGTTTTGTTGAAAAATATTTGTTGGAATTTTCTATTCTTCTTAAATGTAAGAAAACTCCATATTGACACCCCTTGGTTACTCTCACTGGAAAACTACAGGTTACATTTTCCATGATGCAGAGGCACATTGTTTGCGTAATGTTATTGCAGGAAGTTCGGGTCCTCTCTGTCTGAATTGGGAACTAAATCGTGCTTATTAAAATATTTAAGAGCAAATTTTGCTCACTTGAGTACTACTCTGAACAGAAAATGTAACGACTTACCAACGTACATGTTAACAAAATTTACAAACACAAATTAATAATAAATTCGGGCATTTATTAAATGCAGACATCATACCCTGCTCATAAATACTTCAATTCGCATAAATTTATCCATTACAAAAAAAAACAAAAGGTAAAAAAGTCCCCATCTCAACAAAAATGGAAATAAAGTTAAATGGGAAAAAAAAGAGTTTTTATAAGAACTGCATCAAAAGATTACAGAGCCTGGGCCCATTTACCTGTCTCCACTGATTGCTTTCTGTAAATCCAGCACCGCACCTGGGCGGGGAGTCCACGTATTTATATGAGGGGCGTTCCGCCGGATCAGATCGTTCAGTGCAGCTGGGTCGTTCTTGGTATTGACCGACCTGATGTACCTGGTGATCGGCAGGAAATAGTCGTTTAGTTTCAAGGACTGAGAAACATCATTCTCGGTAGCATTCCCCGAATAGGCGAATCTGTGCACTGCCCATTTCCAGACCAAGGGGGCATTTCCAATGCCCGATCAACTATTGTTTACTGTTCCAGTTTGTCATCTCGAAGACTCGGAGTACACAAAACAAATTGCAACTATCACGCCCCTGTCTGCATTTTGGACGTAATATACGCACAAACTAGGACACATAACTGAAGTAGTAATACAATTCACAGACATGCAAAAGTGTCGCAAGGCAACTTGGCCTGATGTTGTAAATCCCTTTCCAATCCCCCACCCCAAATATAAAAGAAATCTAGACTTCACTGACTGATCAGAGGGGTGTGCCTCAACGAAGTAGCCGGCAAAGGGACAGTAGACCTTCGGGTTAGTGTCCCGTACAAGCCTCATCTTGTAGTCCAGCAGTTTACGACGTTCGCGCTTCACAAACTCGGCTTTCCATTCCTCTTTGGACGAAAAAGGGGAAAACGGTTATCTCCTGCACGAGAGGGAGTGAGCATATTGCTGAGTGCCACTCGAATCACAGAAGTTTGGCACCTCGACTCAAGTTCTGTTGGGTATAAACTGACTCATCATAATTTGAATCATTACGAGCAAATTATCGACGCATTTCAAGAAGCTTTTTGGAAGACTTGAGTAGACTCTACTCAAAGGATAATAATCCTGGAGTCCGAAAACTGCAAAAGTAGAAAAATGTCATTCTGATTTTCAGGTAGCAGAAAGGTAGAAAACTCTAAAATTGCATGTTACAAAGACGTAAAATCTGCTTTTTAACAATTCTGATAGCAGAGAAGCAGATGGCCACTTTTCGTCCTCCATTATCTTGTTCCAAAACTGATTACAATGCGCGGCGTTAGATGCGCACACTACAGGGGGAATTTGAACTGCTACGGCTATATCGCTATATCCAGCAAGAAATGAGTGCCTCCCATTATGTCCACTCATTATAAACACTCTAAACTACTGTTACCTAACACATCCCCCCTAGATGTCTGAAAAGAATTCCTAAGATTGCAGTGAAACAATGACCAACGCAAGGGGGGGGATTCTCCCCGTCTCGTATCTTGCTTCATATGGCCATTTGGCTAGACGAGCAAAGGGACTATCGTCTTTGGCAGCTGGAGGGAATTACATGACAATTTTAAATCTAGGCTGTATGCTCACATGGTCAAAGTGTTTTGTAGAAAGGCTCAAGACACTGGAATGTGACGTCAGAAACATACCGACGCCTATGTGTTATGTTACAGGAAGTATCTAAGCTCTGGCCGGTTTCATGCAGTTGGCTAAATCACCTATGGTGACGACTCCCCTGTTTTTTCGATTTTACGAAGTCGGCCGCTGGAAAAGTAAATAAAAGCCCAGTCTACCTTCCATTGGCGTCGCGGGAGGGGGTGCTACACCAACCCCAGGAAAAAAGCCGAAAAGAGGGGAAAATAAATGCGAATGGCATTTTAAGAAGAGATGAAATGGAATAAAAATCACTAATCTGCTTGAAAAACATCGAAACTGACCAGTGACTACTCCCTTGCACTGTTTGTCGTTTTTCAGTCAGTTGCCGAAGAGTGCTCGCCCCCCGGGATATTTCTGCCCCAGAAAAATGTTTTGTGCCCACTCTGGGCGGCGACACCCAGCACCCTTCAGAACGGAATTTGGTTGAATATCCCTTTTCGCATCCATCCCTCGGTCAAAATTAATAACCATAACAACCTTTGCTACGCCATGAATGGAAAAGATATTCACAGTGCAATTCAGTCAACATCTCTGTGTAGACTTTGGGGAAAAAAGAAAATTCAACACAATTAAAACAAAGTCGAAATGGTTGAATAAAAATCAGACAGCATCCCAGATCATTATTTTCCACAGCATGCATATAGTAACATGGGTTTCACCACATTTTAGGGGCAACTGTTTCAGATGGAAATATCGTCAAAATGCATTGAGAAAGTGAGAAACTTAATTATGCGTTCTTCTTGTTTTGTCGAAGGGGGTATCTAAAAGTTTTCCTTTTATTTAATCGTTTGCATTCTCTGATACTGTCTGACTTAAAGATAGAAGACCACGAGGGATTGTGGGACACACGTATACCTGTGTATTTCCCGCCGGAAAATGTCATGGGGAAGCCCGAGGCACCGCCGGCAAAATCACTTAGCATCAAGTCTACACCCGAGGGCAAACGTCCACCGTTGGGATTGGTGCAGTCTACTGTGTTTAAAATAAGGTGACCTGCGTGTATTACATAAAGAAAACACGATTAATTCACATTAATTTTCTAGGGAGCTCTGGCAGTTGTCATCCAAGTAGTTGAGATCCCGACATATTTTACTAGTAGGGTGATGACATTTTACAGGCAAGATGTCGACGTCCAAATGTAAGACAGGCTTGATTATCATGTCATGTCAGCATTCTGAGAATGGGACTTCAGCTTCCAGGCATGTTGTGTCTTGGGATGACGGCATATTGCAGGCAAAATAATAAACAAGTTTGGTATTTCAAATAAGCAGGGTCATTCGGGAACAGAGCACGCACGACCGAGTCGGGTTTTGCCAGGGGCTCCCCGAAAGGACAGACAACGCACGCGCGTCCTAATGACCTCGCGTCATCACGTCCAAAACGCGTCCCGCGCACGCATATGTTCTTTTCAGGAAGGTAAAGAACGGACGTTATGCTCTGCGTTGCACTTTCAAATGGAGTTTTTCAAAACTGGATGAGTCATTTTTCTTTAAAACGTCATTTTTCCCCCCCAGGAATACTGAGTTGTGCACATGGAATAGACAAAATTGGAAAGAATAATAGTTGAAGTTTGTGCTACGGTAAATTACCCAGAAAGAGATGGAAAACTGAGTCGAGAAAGAGGAATGTCCTTTCATAAGTAACTTCCCCTTTCATATCTTGTCTTATGATTTATGTAGGTCTATAACATTACAGAGTATAACACGTATCAAATCAAACAACAGAAATAAATTTATATAAGGGGGCGTGAGCTTTCAAGAACGTTGACATAGAAGTTTGCTGAATGTTTCTTGATGACCACTCATCACTCATACGATATGGACTCATAAGGTGCTGTCGACTGCAGCCTTGAATTACAAGCTTTCGAATACGACTTTCCATTAAAGCTATGCCGCTTATAAGTATTTCTGTTACGTTTTTAGATGGGAAACGCGTATCATAGGCTTCTCGAATTTTTCCTGGGCTCTGCCATTACTAGTCACGTGACGTGAATGAGGCTAGAAATTTTGAACGCGCAGAAACTCGGCGTGACGATCACTTCTCACTGCAACTCTGCAGATGGTTGTGCAGGCGCATGTTGCGTGAAGAAATATCAGCAATTCTTAGTTGGTTATCCAATACCCTGACATCACTCAACGCACTTATACCCACGCCAGTTCGGTAAGGCTGTGTAAAAATGGTGGATCTAAAACATTTCAAACGCTGTCATATTGCTAAACCAAGGAAGAAATGCACAACATAGAAAGCTACCCCGAATACTCAAGCACCTGACATATTAGTATGAGCTATACGACATGATATTGCATCATCGGTTTCTTCATCATATAGAAATTAACCTCATCATCAAATCCTAGAGGTACCACAACACCCTTGCAGTGAGTGAGTGTGAAGAACTCAATTTGACCAACCATAATCTACGTCTCAAAAATAAACGTTTCTTGGAAAAGATAGCTTTATGCCAGAACGGCTTACCTTTGTAGTCGACGAGTAAGCACGTGTCCATATCAGGGTGTACACCATCCATCATAATCATAAATCGCATGTCTTTGTTAATCTGCTCAAATTTGAATTGAAAAGACAAAAGAAGTACCTCATGTCTTTGTTTTAATCTACATTACTGCTCAGGGCTGCAGGTTTGCACTGTGCATGAAATCACCACACTCCGAGTAGAAGCGAGGCTACACTTGCAAAAGCACACACTGGGCGTCGTTACGCGGTAGGGTGCACAGTGTAAGTTTCGAACGTATCCAATGTTGCCACTCTAGCCCCTTCTGGACCCTGCTATGCAAAAAACACCCATACTAGTGGACTGTGGGATGGAGGAGGGGCTTAGTGCAGCCCCAAAGAACTAATCACCACAGGTATTGTTTAAAATCGGTGGCACGTCCCCAAACAAGAAAAAAGATGGTAAAGGAAGGGAGACATTCGGTAACAATCTAACGACACCTTAATGGATCCTAACCAAACTTGACACATTGAATTTTCATGAATACGTCCTCAGAAAAAAGTCATGGGTAGCCATGGAAACCATTACAATGGGAAAGAGCCAACCAAATCTTTTTACATATAGGAGTCTTCAATTTTTTTGGCACGAAACATCTTTAATGTTGAGAATAAAACTCAGTGATTCAAACATTTTGCTCTTCTACAGTAAAGACATGACCAAGAACTTAGGTGTTTAAGTATTGTAAAACAACGATGGATCACAAGAATCATGTCCAGATACCGTATTTTTTCAGTCAAACTTGGAATCTGACGGGGAAAAGGGGTTTTGAGTGGGCAAGATTATCCGCTTCTCTCACCTCTATCCACGTTCCCAATCTTTTGATGTTAATATTGTTGAGTTTTACACTGCTCTGCTCCAACCTCACGAACACCGGCATGGAGGTGTCGCCCACGTAGATTGGGATGTCGGGATTGCGCTCAGATAACACCTCCAGCGTTGGGTAACTGTCAAGCCAACAGGAAGGTACGGGTGCTAGAAGTTATGTGTGTTACTATATCGATGATGGTTGCCGCCCGGGCAATTTGTCTTGGAGAGAGCCGCATTTGTACGTGCAATATGTTATTGCTTTTTTCAAGCCGTCAAACCTAGTTTCTGATCTAAGCGGGATTTTTAGTACTTTGTAAAGGGACTTTACAATAGTGTGCGCACGAGATTGAGCAGGAAAATTCTGTATAGATTAGAAAGTAATAGCAAAAACGATTTAATGGGATTTTCTGAAGAAAAAACTGAACAAAGCTAGAAACCCTGAGAGAAAATGATCAAAATCGCACCATTTACTTTTCAATGGCCCTTGCCGCCAAGACCATTTGTGTGCATGCGTGCATAATTACGAATTTACTAGAGAAAGGCCTGTTGTTCTACCTTGTACCACTTTATCTCAACCATACTGAGCAGCCAGTAAGCAACCATTATGGAGACAACTCAATCATTGGCTGATTCTCCAGCTGAGAAAACAGCAAAGTTAAACGCCACTCTTGAACAGATATGCAGGCAATAGGAAAGGACACCTCTAATTCGTGCACCCTCTCCGCAGTATACATTAGCATTATGCATAAGTGCAAATCAACGTGATCATTGACGGAACAATTGGTAGTGGAATTTCAGACGTGATTTCAAGAACGACTGAATTAGAAATGGATTCGGTCAGAAGAGGTTCAACAAGATTATGGTAGTAATGCCGGCGTTTTCAACATCATTTTTGTGGTGACGTGCACACGTTGTACCCAGGGAATACTACAGTATAAATAAAACGACTATAAGTACAACGATATAACAATTTCCGATGCCCTTTTCCCGGCTGCAATGGTTATCATATCTACATTGTTCTTGTAGTTGGTAGATGAATGTGCAAGTTTTCGTCTAATGGGCCCATTGATATGCTGTGCAACTGCCTGATCCATATTCATTATAATGTTGGATTGAGGTTTTCTTTGCAATGTCACTTTTGAGGTTTAGAGTTTATCCTTTGCTTCATATGCGATAGGAGCCCATAAGGAGACAAGTTTCCTCGAAATAACTCACAAGGACCCTTCCCTATTACAAGCGCAGATCCTGAATAATTGGTCGAAACCCCTTAAAGGCTTGCTCTCCTCGAGTTTGGATTAGAAAATAATATCGATTAGGCAAATGTTGAGGTTCCAGTCTTTTTGCGCTAGTATGTTCCTATAAGGTACCCTTATTTGGTCGGTCATAGGATGGTTAGTCTCTTCTATGTGCTGGCTTCTGGTGTTCTGGATTTTGTTTAGCGTCCCCTCTTTGCAACCAAAACCCTAGTCTAATCTAGTCTTAATCTTCGCGAGACTTGAGTCTTGGGTCGTTAGACCTTGCGAGATCTCGATGCCTTGTCTGCGTGAAACCACATTTTCTCATGAGTGTTTTTTTGACGGGTCGACTTGAATCAGAATACAGGTAACGGCCTGGCCACTTACTTCAAATGGTCGGAGTGAAGGTGGCTGATGTATATGAGGTCGGCTTTGACCAACCTGTCCAAGCAGTCTGGTGGCGGCTCGTGCATCAGCCACCAGCCACGGGCGAATGCGGGGCCCATCAGCCACGGGTCCGTGATCATTACCAGATCTCCCAGCTTTAACTCTATGCAGGCATGCGTGATGTAGGTGACCTGTGTAGGTGACAAACGGGACACATAAAAACTTCAGCATCTACGAACTATCACTCGAAGGTCGACTGAATTGACCGTTTTTCCCTCGAAGTCTAAAAAAGGAGAAAAAAAATCTAAATGTCTTATGTCAAAGACTTTTGTTCTCTTCCCTCTCTCTCCCATGCTAATCGAAAGCTATATTGCCCACAATATCCGACATCACTGACACCACGAACTGACACTAAGTTGTGCGCGAGGTGATCTCATTTGTGCGCATTTTAGAGAACTGAGTGGTTTTCATTTTTACGAACTCTGTACGTTACGAACGAACTCTGTACATTTTCGTTTTCACGAACTAATTCTACAAGTTAAAACGATTTCTAATTCAATTTTCGGTAGGGCAGCAAGTAAACAGATGGATTAAATTCGTGTCAAACCTTTCAAAGCATTTTTTCCTGCATTGCCATATAACAAGCTTGGATGTCAGTCAATTTAGCTTCAGTGTCCGATGTGCGCGCGCGATACCGGATGCTGCTTCGGAATGAAACCGAAATTGTTAATACGAACTGATACGCAGTTGCAACGGAGTGGCAGTTCGTGGTGTCGGTGACAAATTATGGACGCCCAAAGTTTAAAGAAAAATAAAAAAATTCTCCGAAGTATTTGACATATGTCTAAGACTTTTTAAAACTTTGTAATTTGTCCATATTTTTCAGTATTGATTGTAGAAGACCCACTGAAGAAAAACTCAAACAAATCAGCTATTAGGCTCATCGGCACTGTTGAACTCTAGTTTCCTTTGCATGAAACGAATATGTCTATTCCCCATGGATGGAATGCCAGTCCCTCCCAGGTTGCTACCCATTATGCTGGTACCCATTCGTACCCCTGGGCGGAGAGAGGCAAGCAGGGATTTTGAAGTGACTTCTCCATGCAAGGCTACAACTTATTATCGGCAGCTGGATTTGAACCCCTGATCCAGTAGCGTAACTTTGTGCCGGAAATGGGGGTGGGGGGGTGGGGGATGACTTGCCCGGCCATGAAACTTTGAAAAGTGGGGAGAACACCTTTTGACTCTACATGATATTGATGCATACCTGTAAAATGTATTCAGAAGGGCCTGTTTGTGGTTTAAAACTGTTTTTCCTCTTTTGAGTGATACTGAATGCATTTTAGTGGTTAGAACTCTAAAAAATCATCGAAATCCGTTTTAATTTTTTACTCACCACAAAAAAGTGGGGGATGATTCAACCGCTTACCCCCACCTGTTTGTGCGTGTGTAGAGGGGGACATATACCTCCACCCCCCCAGGATTTACACCCATGCACTGCTCCTCTGATCACGAGTCACAAAGCTTGTACTTCTATCATCTAAGAAAACTCAAGGATGTAACGCAAAAAGCGCTCAATATAAAAACGACGAAGTACAAAATTACATTCAGCGGCGCGTCTTTAGAGGCTTGTAACACCTCCTCTCCCTGCAGTATCTGGAGCCTAGGTTGGGAGAAATTATTGCAGGGGACATGATAAAAGGGGATTCCGTATATCAATCCTCAATGGCAGTGATCCAGTCTGACTGTTCATTATGTTCAACGTGGCGATGCAATGTTAGCAGCGCATGCTATCTTTGCAGATTGCCAGCGGTGTTTGACTCAACCTTCAGATTTTGTACTCTTGATCCATTATTCAAGAGCACTAAATTCTTGCTAAGGAAATTCCTTTATATAGATGTTGACTACGATTGACTTTATAATGTTATCGGAAGTTTAATCGCCGTTACTACTCCTCGATCAGTATGCAGTAAACCAGATGCTGATGCAGATAGTTGATCTTTTGATATCTGTTTTGTGTTCTGCATGCGTAGAGTAAGTAAGATTTGAAGCTTTGCATGGGGGAAGTTACATGAGAGGTAGGCTCGTGGGTACACAATGGAATCAATCTCTTTTTTTGGAGTTGTGGTTATAGAAGAACCAGTGAATGTTGACTCAATGCTGTGGCCGTCCTTAGGAGAGTCTGCCGGACTCGAGCGGACAACTAGGTTATAAAGGTAATCCGAGAGCGGTGGAGCGTGGAACGGGATTGCGGGTTGTGTAACTGCTGCGCATGCACCGGGGCACGAAGGTGTTGCATCCTGTGGTGGTGCCGCGCCGAGATGCAGAATTGGCGGAAACCTTGGGTTCGGGTATAGAGGACCCTTATGCCTCGTGGTTGGTATGGGTTACGGGTGTGGAGGACCCTGCTGCCCGGGGTGGGAATCGTCTTGGGGTGCTATATAGTATTGGGCGCCAGATGTCGCTGAGCTTGAAACCGATGTCTTAGGGGACAGTGGTGTGCCAGAAAATCTCGACGGCTTCTCTGATTCTTCTTGAGAGCCAGTTCTGGATGGGGGCGATGAGTTTTCTGCATTGTCCTATTTGATGTGGTAGTCCGAGGAGTGTGCGTGTTTGACGATGGCCGACTTGTCGTATTATCCGTGCGCACGGTGCTCTTAGGCACGCCTGGTGGGGAGGTTCCTGCCGGTTTCTCCCATGTATACTTGCCCGCATTCAAGTGGAATGCGATATACACCGGGATGACTGCTGGGTGGGTGCTTTGTCCTTGTGGGTGTGGAGTACAGACTGCAGCTTGTTGGGTGCCGGGTAGACTTGGATGTTGGCCGACTCTAGGGTAATGCAGAGTTGGTGGGAAGTGGAGCCCTGGTATGGTAGATATACTGTGGCGGTGGTGGTTGGGGGGCTTTGGGTGTAAGCGCCCCTAGTGTCCTTGGAGGGGGCTTGGAAAGCTGATGCGCTTGTGGTGGCAGCTGTTCATTTGCAGGGCCGTCTTGATGTGCTTGTCACAGGTTGCATTGGTCGCCGATTTCAAAGGTTCCGTGGACGAGGGTGCGGTTGACTGATGTCTTGATGGCTAGTTGGTGGAAGGTCTCTGGTGCAGGTACCTATCGGTGTGGGTGGGATTGCGGTGTACACGGTGGTAAAGGGTGCCGTCTGGATTCCTGGACAGGTGGACATCCAGGAAGGAGTATGGAATTCCATATATGCCGTCGCCCGTCGCCTTTTGCTTTTCAAAAGCAAAAGGCGACGGACGACGCACGACGGGGCGACGCACGACGGACGACGCACGACGACAGATATGGAATTCCATGAAGGAGAGTTCTCCGTCTTGCTCTTGTTCCATGCTGAACTTGGAAGAATCTTAGACAGGAAGATGTTGACGGGCGGAGGTGGCGGTACAGAGCTGCTGGGATGGAGTCGGAATTGTGGAGGGCGAGGAGCTTGCTGGCAATGCGTTCTCGGTGGCTTGGGTGGGGTACTTGGACAGAGGACGGTACGCGCAGAATGTGAGGATGTCTTGTACCCTCTTGGTGTAAGCTGTGCGATCCATGACCACGGTGGTGTTGCTCTTGTCACCCGTGATGATATGGATGGTCTTATCACTGCGGAGATCACGGAGGGCTTCAACTTCGGGCTTGGTGAGGTTGGGCTTGGCTGTGGTGAAGCCGGGATTTTGACGCGGATGTTGAGTCGCACATATTGCTGCGATTTTTTTCCATCAAGGCAGGTCGCGAGTGAGTTGCTCGGCTATAGACACAGCAATTGCTTTTTGACGTTGTGCCCAGTGCGTTATGCCAAACTGCCCGACCGCATAACGACTTGAGATCAAGCCGAACATATAGATCATTGCGCGAGCGCGTGAAAACTAGCTTGCTAGAAAAATATTGCGGCAATATCTGTGACTGGAGATACAAGTCATAAAATTGGTCGCGAATATTGGCGTCAATATTAGCGGTTGAAGAGCGAGTGGTGAATTGTGGTCGCAAATATTGGCGGTAATATTGACGATTGGCGATGTCCCTCTAGGGCTACCATAAGAAACCGTGCGAAGCCACAACCACATACCATACCCAAGGATACGGCCCGCTGTGTCAAAAATGACAGAATGCTCAAGGCCATGCATGGGTACACATACATCCGTTCATGATCCGTTATAGTGAGCGCTGCTTGGCTTAGCCAGTACTGGTGCTGATATAACGTGTGATTTCTTATTAAAACAAGATAGAAATGATACTTTTAGAGGAAGAGAGCCAATAGTATCTTAAATTTTGCACAGTGTGGAGAAAAGTCATGTCAAACCATTTGCTTTCTGTCAAAGCTAACATTGGCCTTGGCCACGCTAAACTGATTCTGAGGGCCAAAAATAACGTCACGTGTTTCAAAGGGTTCATAAAAGGTCCTGTCGCTTTCACACGCTGACAGCCAGGTCGATCTAGGTCTGGATGTATTTAAAAAAGAAATCCATTGGCTTGAGGCGGTGAATGCATGTGAAACTATGACTGACGCGATCGTTTATTGAAACAAACTGGACCAGAACGGGCTCGGCAAATAACAGCGTTAGATGCAGTTCTGTAAGCCTGTCACGCAGTATATGTTGTCACCAATGTGATTGATGGCGTGGTTAAAAATATGAGGCTATTAAACATGCTTTTCACCTGAAAACCTGTACAATGTAGTAATAAACTATTCCTGTGACGTCACTCCTTTGTTCAAAGTGTAGATTATTTTTATGAATCTATATAGGTGGCTGTAGATTCGTAACAAATCTACAGTTAGGCCTATATTGCGAATCCGTGAAAAATCTATACAGTTACTGTAGTTTAGTAACAACGATGAGATTACCCTCGTATCCCCCCTCCCCTCGTTTCGGTCAAAACGGTCGTGACCGGTTGGGGTGGAGTATGACTATATTGTTGTTTGTTTTAATGGCACTTTCAGCAACTCAGGCTATTTGCGCCAGTAATTATACGTTTATTATTAATCAGCATCACATCATTACGGAGTTAGTCAGGAAGAAGGTCCATTTTAGAGGCAGGAGGAACCGGAGAACCCGGAGAATAGGCGAGGGCGCATATGGACTGGAAACCAAATGCACTTAGAGCCCGGGGTCAAGTCGGGACTTGAACCCGGCCCTCATTGGTACAAAGCGAGGAAAGAACCGCGTTAACCCGCACCCCCGAGTATAGCCACGGTTTGGTGCCGTGGCACTGATTTTACGGGGCCTCATGAATGACAGGCACAGTGAGCAAACTTAAGGGATAACAAGGAACGCCTACACTCCGGCCTTATTTTGTATGCTTGCCATTCTCCACGGAAAATGACTTAAAGCTTATCTTTCGTTTTTTTCAGAATCAGTGCTCTATAAAGCAAGATTTTCAACAAAGATTTGAATTTTTCTCTTCACCTTTCAACAAGGAATAAACTCTCTGTGTCTACGTTTTCCCCACTCTTTTGTTGGATTATAATTTAATGGAATTGACGCAAACTTAGTCCCGAGGTGACGGATCGATTAGGATAACTGCTCCCTGAGTATGCGGTCCAGCACATTTATCCCAGTCCGTTTAAAACGGCTTTCGAACATACTTGTGTAATCTTGCTTGTCGAGTAAAGGCGCCTTTCTATATAAGCATCAACACTTGCGCCATGCGGTGCGTATCCGTCCAAATCCCCCCGAGAGTGATTCTGACGGCCAAATGCAGCGCACACGTGTGTTTTATGTAACTGGAGTGGTTTTTTGTGTCCGTGAAAGTGAAACGCATGAACGCATCGCGTACGCAACGCAGCCCACAAACGTACATATGGAACAGTGCCTTTATCCTGTAAATTCTCTTGTGTTGTTAATTCCTGTAACGCTATAAGCAATTTTAGGTGGATATGTCCCGCTATAAGCAATATTAGGTGGATACGTCCGCTTTATAAAAAAGCCTTTATTGTTGTCATTGAACTCCAAAATTTGCATCATAATTTGAACCCAAGGTTGCCCATTCTCAAAACGAAATAGCAATATGCAGTGATTCATACATAAGAACATGTAAGGGTCAATGAACCTCATCTTGAGTGGTTTGTAAAGTGGTTCTAAAAGTGCTAACCATACTTTCATAAGGTTGAGATAGCATCGCCCAATTGCATTGCGTCCTGTAATGGTTTTAGTGCTGAAGGTTTCGCTGCAATGGCACACATAATAATGAATCCAAGGCGCAGGAGGAAGAGAATATATTCAGCACTGAGTGTTGACTGCACAAATTACTCTCTTGAAGTTGATGTGCCACTCCTCAACTTCAAAGAGTCCTGTGGTAGTTTTAGTTGGATAAGTTTCCCTGTAATGACACACGTACTACTCCAAGGCACAAGAGGAAGAGAAGAGAGTACATCTATGCACATGTATCCAGCACTGATGTTGTTTACTGCATGGAGACTGTCAGTGTTTCACGTTGCCAACCCGTGCACATAATGGAACAAAGGTGTGCACTCGGGCGAAGGGGTAACGTCATAGACTCAGGACTCCATGTTTGTGTAACAAAACAAAACTACAAAGTCAAAGAATAGACTTGGAACTGCAGGTTCGTGCAAGAATGGCTCGGCTTTGCCTCGTCCATACTTCGAACCAATCTACAGTCCTCGTCCATTCTCTATGATTGAACTGCTTCCGGCTGACAATGGTTAATCCAAGGGAAACTTTTATTCTTTAGCGACAAAATTATTTAGCCCCTTTACTTCATTCTACCTTACTACCTGATCTGGCAGAATACGCTCATCAATTTTGAAACACATTTCATCACTAACTGAAGCTTATTTGATACATCTTATATCGTTAGCAGATTCGTTTATGTTTTAAAATCTTGTTTGAAAACATGCAGTAAGGCAGAGCTTCAAAATTAGTAACTTGTATGACATTTATTTTGGGGGGCATAACTTACAGAAAATATGCCCGTGCCTACCGTCGACAATGGCGTAGCCGGGGGGAGGTCTGGGGGCATGTGCCCCCCCCCAATTCCCGGTGCCCCTAGGTGCGCCCCCTGCCCTGAAAAATACGGATTTATGGATATTGAACAAGGCTAACAAAACTTTCCCCCAAGAAACACACCACTGAAAGCTGGTGCCCCCCTATAAGATGCTGGTGTCCCCTTCGTGCCCCCCACACAATCCTAGCTACTCCACTGACCGTCGACCAGGAGATTTCAAGTGGCTCATTATCTGCACATCTGAACATAGATTTACGGTCTGTTTACTGAAAGATAGCTGAAAATGTAAACAAATAAACAAATCGACTTACCTGTACTTCACCGACTTGGAGCGGTTCTGGATCCCTCTTGTTGGTTTCCCACGGATGGCGCGGCCGCAGCTCAACTATGCTTAGGCTTCCATCTTCGTTTAATTCAGGTACTTTCAAGGGTGGAATTTCAAATAAACGTAAATTAGGTGAAGGGCTCACAAGTAGTTCACAGGCAACATAAAGTGCAACTTTTACACTTCTCTGTTCAACAGCCCTTTGAAGGTGTGCCTTTTCTGACAAAATAATAACGATTCAAGACATGTCATTTGGGGCTATTGTTCACTTTGGGGATTACTGTTAAAATTGTGATGTTTTCATTGAATTGTTTGTGTGAACCTTTTGCTGTGCGACAGACCGAAAAACCAGTGTATTTTACCTGTCCATTCCCTTGTCTTCACCGCCCTTACAGGGCGTCGGGAGGTGGCAATATACATTTAGGGTAACCGGATCTTTTCTCTTCTTTTCCGGTGCTGACAAAATTAATGGAATGACTTGGGGCAACCTCTGGAGATTTACGAACTTTCTCGTGGTGTGTTGCCTTGGGGAGAATAGTTGTTTTTCATCCCCAGGTTCAGGCAACCGTCCAGATAAATTATGCCGGGTTTGGTTATGGTTATCAACTTGGACAAGCAAAATTCATGCAGACCAATAATGTTTTAGGATGTTGTCATAATGATCATTAGACGGAGCCGTGCGTAAGTTTCAGCCAATAAACATTTTGTCTTTATTGTTCTTACCAAGCTGCTCTTGACTGAAGCAGTCTGGAGGGTTGACGTATTGCATGGTCCGTGCATCTAATTTCCATCCATGCTTGGTACAGCGAAGTACACTGCCGATGAAAAATTGAAAAATTTCTTTGTGATTGGCTTCCTTGTGAACATCAGATCAATCATTGGCATGTTGATTTTGATGACTAATTTAATCCAAGAATCCAATCAGCTTTATTTTCAGGTTACCTTTTGACCTTCAAATTCTGTGAAGATCACATGGAATTATTTTTCGGCGCTATAGAGGCAGATGAGAATTCAACAATAACCCCTCCGTCACACAGTTCCAAAGAAAAAGGCATGCTTGGCTCGTTATGCCTGCGACATGAAGAGCGTATCTCCAAGAATACGCAGGTCCAGGAGAGGGGAATAAAGGAAGATTCAATCCTTCGATGTTGAGCTAAACCAAAGATATTTTACATAGATGTCATGTACTGTTTAATTATCGGTGGTCGTGAGAAAATAACATGGCGGCCGCCAAAAGACCATGACACAAATATTTACTTGATGTTAAAAAAATTAAAGTTGTTTTGGCTAATGACACATCCCCTGTATGCAAGCGCAGCAATTACGACAAACGCGGAGATCGGTAACCAACTCTCATTACGAAGCTCGTTGCAAAGTCCCCTTAAATAGGCTCTGACTTGCGGGAATGAACTCTGAACTCGATTCGAAGTTTTTGGCGTTGTGAGTTTGCCCAGATTGAGAGTTGAAAGCTAAATGTTTGCTTTAATAAATTTAAAGAAATGTTAATACAGAATCTACACCGTTGAGGTAAAAGCGGCATATAAAGACCCATGAAGGGCCAACCCTACAGAGACAGCAGTAGCGCATGTTAACCCATTTCTCAGGGCTTGAACTCAGCCGAGCCGATTCGTCACTTTTGTTGCTTTTTTAGTTTGGCCTTGCAATGAACCAACAGGCCTACTGCCGCTGGAGTGAAGGATACTTTGGATTTAAATAGAAAGCTGCCATGCAGTTTCGGTGACTAAGTTGACTATTGTTGTCCTATAGACGTCCTTTCGAAGGCGCGGTCAGGTCACTGACTAATAAAATTCACCCGAGCTTTCAAACAAAATGGGGGAGAAGGTCGTTCCATATTTTTCTTTTCACCATAGCATATAGACGTTTATCCATATACTTATTTACTAATTATTGTTGTATCCATATCTAATTACCTCAGCCTAGCACTTTTTACCAGACCTCAAAGATAGTTCCCCAGATTATCTAGCTCCAAATGACTACATACAAAAACCAACCAAACACAAAAAACCCCGCTCCAGTGTTTCCTATGAAATAGAAATTGTGACTTTCAAAAGTGATATCTTTGTGTAAATGTAACAAAAAATATTCAAAGGCAGCTCCGTTGCGGGGGGATATGTTAAAACGGAAACTTCCATAACATGGCAATGTTTTTCTTTTTTTGCTGGTTACGGAAGTTCACTGATAAATTCAGTAATTCTGGAATAGAGCCCGAAAGTAAAAGGTCACGCGGCTCAGCAGCGAGCTTCCGGAACCCTCGCGCAGTCCCCCTATTGGGATTTTACATTGGGCCGTCCTATCACGTTCGATGATTTTTGGAAGAATAATTCCTCACTGAAACCACCCCATGAAACACTCGTGTCGGAACTTTACCTTTGTCTCTTTCAAGTAATATTTAGGAAAAGTCGCATGGAGATAGGTAAAAAACGAAATTTCTTAACGACCTTTTACGTCCGGCGATATCGTTACCTAGGTCTGTGCATTAATGCACGTTTGTTTTCACTGCCCGTGCTTTACGTGAAAACGAGATTGTACACCGTTGCAAAGATTTATCTACTTGCAGTCGATGGGTTCCAGATTCCGTTGAGTTGACATCACGCAGTTGTTGTCAGCAAAGATTAGATAAAATATTAGAATCTTTAGTAATTGAAGTAGAATATTGCTTTAAGTTTATTACTTACTAATTATAAGACCATTTAAAATATTGTGATCTATTTTTATTTGTGCTTTTACCGACGGACTACCATAAATTTTCATCTGCATACGAGACTGCCTCATTGCACTGTATTTCAGATTTTTGGAAGTGATGGTTCAATTTTTTGCAGGATATTTCTCTTTTAGGTCAGGTAATTTTTCAGTTTCTATAAATTGCTATACTAGCAAATATTTTCCAAAGCCCCTTTTCCGAGTTTGATTTTTTAAAGAAGAAACTGAACGAAGAAATATTACGAATTCTAAAATCTTTGCACGTTATTTTTCCTGTCCAAGGGTTCCAGAAGCGCGCCATTAGGGGTCAACTTGCAGGCTCTATTATCGTTCACTGACATGGAAAGTAGACATAGGCCTATACTGTACATTCCTTTTGGTGTATATCTTGACCTCCCTTGTTACACATACAGGCTGGGTATGGCAGAATAATGGGTCGTATGAATAAAAAGTAGCATTTGCTTTTACTACCATTTTTGAAGCATTTACTCATTTTTGTATGAATAATAACGAAGCAAATGCTTTTACTTTAGTGCAATTGCTAAAAAGTAAAAGTGTTTACTTTTTACTCTATAAACCTGTGCTTGACAATAAGCAGTTGCTTCATTTTGTATGAATAAAAATGAGTAAGTTCCACAGAATTGGAGTATTTACTTGACATTTTTCAAGACTGGGTCAGGGCAAGCCTGAAAACGAGGAGCATTTACTAATGTTCAAAATGGCAGCGTTCATGAATGTCATTCAAAAGGAGAAGCTGTATGCCTTTAGGAGGGAATCTCAAGAAACCAGATGCAGGTAGTTGTACCGATTTGAGAGTGGCAGAGCAATTTTCTTCATCAAAGTTTTTGCGATCAAAATTACTGCAATTGTGCTTATCTGCCATGCTGAGGTCTCCAGATATAGCACCGTGCTGCACTTTGTGCGTCTGTACATGTCGTGCAGACAACGGAAGCCCTGTCGTGCAAAACCATTCGGCTGTGCAGTCAGCCACAATATTTATACTAGTAGATGCTGAATAGAAAAAAAAAACCATTTTATTCATACAAATTCAACCTCTTGCTGTTTGCATTTACTAGGTTTTATTCATACGACCCATGAACATGAAATACAAGAAAAATGTCAAAATGAGCTTCATAAAAGAGGCTTTGCGAACTCGGGTCAACATGCGAATTCAATAATTCCTGTTAGAGAGGGATATTGTACATTAGCAAAGTAAAGCTTCGCACAAAACGAATCAGACATTCAGAACCCCGAACAAAAGTGGCCGGGGCCGTCGCACCAGCACAGATTAGGATAAAACCGGGCTCGTAAGAAACACTAAGACCAGCCAACAACAAATCTAAAACAAAAAGCTGAAAAAGGTGGGATTTAGGCCTACACTAACGAAGTGAACTCGGCCTTTTTAGCAAAGTTTGCTTCAATTGACTGACTTCACGACACAGAATGCTCATACTAGCACGTAAAAAGAACGAAAAAGTCAAAAGCAGGCTGTATGTTTACCAGTCATTTCGGTCTTCGATGTCTTTGATGAATATCCCGCCTTGGTGTTTACATTTATTCAGGCAGACCTTAAACATGTGTTCGCTCGCCGACTCCTCATCCGTGTCCTCAGCAGCCGCATCCTTGTAGATGATGAACCTCAAATTGCCCAAGCCCCTGACCAAGTTGACACCATCTTTCAGTCCGCTTGTCTCCCTGGGCGACAAAGTGAAGATGGTGTTCCGTTGCTGATCCATAGTGCTGGTCACTAAGAAGTCGGCATACAGTATATTTTACCTACCCCAGCACTTATGGTGCTTGCATGTCAGTTGTATAGTGCCTAGTGACGGGATTTTTGACCTTGGCTGCCAAAAAATAGTCCGGTCGTGTACACGCCCATTCCTATTCAGCTATTATATGTTTAATATACAGTGAGCCCTTTTCTATGCGCTGATTCTCGTCTTTTGACTGCCCGCAAGTTAGGCATATAACCTTCTCTACTACGAAAGCCCACAAGTGCAATGAACCTTACATTTTCAAAAAGTGAATTTTTGTCTCTAAGTTCGTTTTAATGAGCTCAATTCCTTTTCAAAGACCGTTCTACGTACTTATTCTAATGCTCTCAAAACAATACTAGGCCAACCATAATTCTGGGGGACGAATGTCATGGACGGAAATAAACTTAGACCGTCGTTTTTAGGAAAAAAAATCCATTCCTCCCTGGCCCCAAACCTGGATACTCTATTGGATATAGGACTCTTCCACCGACGGTGTGTCCCATAACACGTACATGAAAAAGATATTTCATCAAACTCATTTTTCGTAAAAATAACTCTCATATAAGCAAACTTATAAAAAACGTGTGGAAACGCTTGGTCCCTAAATCGAACTTGTAACAAATACAGTATATCTCTTAAAAAACTTATAATTATAGAGGATCGTTTTGATAATCGAAATTCAGTTTTAAAACACCGTTTAGAGTTTAAGTACTTTTTTGTATCCACTTTTCCCACACGTTTAACCCATGACACGTTGAGTGAAATGTGTTTAGGAATGTGTTGAAATTCCTAATGCCATTCCATGGTACATGTTTAGTTTTTTGAAATTTACTTAGCATTTAAACGCATGACATTAAACATGCTGTGGTTAAACATGTTGAAAACGTGGGTACAAAAAAGTGTTAACTTTAGAAAATTAATGACCCATTGTGTTTAACCTCTAAACACATTTTTTAGAGTGTAGCTTTACAAAATTTTACACCGAAGTGCTCAATCGTGCGTGAATTCCCTTTAACCCAGAAGTGAATCTACCTGTATTCGCGGGTTCCGAGTGGATCACAATATGCCCTGCACATGAAGTTTTGAATACGATCTCTGGTGGCTATGCGTTATTATGTCCAGCCCAGCCAAGTCACCTCCAATGAAGAACCAGCGTTCAACATTTATCCTCGCGGGGTTGCCATCAGGGTTAATAAAGTTTAGATAGTTAAATTAATATATGAGATGTTTTGTGGGACAAAATATACGTACTCGGTTAAAAATGGGACGCCCAAATCATTTGTCACTTTGTTAATTTTTTATTGTCATACTTTATGAGCGCAAACCGCGACCTGTACACATGGGTCACTACGTGGAACGAAAACATTTCGCTTTCTCTGTCGCTGACAGTGACCTGTGTCGTTTACGCATGAGCGCGTTGACTTTCTCAGGTCGATCTGTGTGGAGGTTCGTTTAAAATCTTTCACAGAGTTTTGTTTATATTTCTCAATTGAAAAGATCTTAAACAGTAAAATTTAAAGGAAATTAGAAGGGGAATTCCCATTGAGAAAGTCACGAACTCTTATTTTCTACTTTTGTTATTTTTCAAAGTGTACCCTTTCATCATTCAAACTTATTTTTCCATGTACATGACAACTCAGGGTCAGTTTTCTGAAGATAGTGGTGAACGCCTCCATTAAAAAGAATTACAATACTATTGGTCTATCAATGAAATACATTTTAAAAGAAACCTACTACTTTTCCAATAATAATGCTTGACACTTAAAAACTGCACGGGGTCACTGTATAATTTGTTTTATTATGCAATGCAGATTTTATTGTTGAGTGGAGCCCATCAGAAAGAGGCCATATTTCAGGGAAACGCAAGGGGCAGAAAAGTAAGTGTAACAAAATACTTTTGAAAAGATAAGTAAGAATTCTTTCTTATTAATGTTTGACTTGGACTGACCATTATCAGTTATGACTCCAATTTCAAACCATACCTGTGTAGGTAAATTAAACATTGCAAGAACTAATAGTACCAGAGTTATTTCTTAAATTAAGTATAGGCCTTACACAAAATGCTTGATCTCAAACAATTCGAGATTGACCAGGTTAAAAGTATAAAATTTCTGGGTGTAACACTGGATGAAAATCCTACTTGGAAATGTCATATCGATGAGGTAGCTACAAAAATATCCAAGACTATAGGCATTTTGAATCGCTTAAGGTTTTATCTTCCGGATAAGGTTTTATTAACATTGTATAGTTCCTTAGTTTCACCCTATTTGAACGGCGCTATTATTCCCTCGGGCACCTCGCCATCCAGATGTAACAGATAACTTACTCTACAAAAGCGAGCGGTTCGTATAATTACAAATGCCGGTCACCGTGATCATTCTGCTCCATTGCTCGCTAAATTAAGTCGTTTACAATGTAATGACCGCGAAGTTTATGTACAGTACAGCATTAGAGAAATATACGTAAATTGATCTCCATTATAAAGACTGATAACGGAGATCAATGGTGAGTACGGTACAAAAAACCCTCTTTTGTTCCACTCAGAGCGGGTGACAGTAACTACCTTTGCGCTTTATCGCCAAAAATGCCAAAATCATTCAAGGCTGGTGGATGGGGCTAAGCGGGTCTTACCCACCTTAACGGAGCCAAGAATGGCGATTGCTGCTCTATGTCATTTCTCTTTCTTCCCAAACCGTGTGAAAAGCCCCAAAAAGTAGCTTCACCCCCCAATAAAAGCCAAAAAAGGTTACATGAAAAATTCCAAAATTTTTGGCCCCCTCCTAGACAACTTTTTGCCTGGGGGTGCATGCCCCCACTTTTTACAGGTCCCGTAATCATGGTAATGGGTTGGGGCTTGAAGGGTCAGCCTATTGATGATGCCTGATCTAGATCTTACAACTGACACCACTTTGAAAATAATTCCACCTGGCCGCCGTTTGGATCAGCCCTTCAGCATGTTGAAATCAGTCTTTCCGTCCAACGTAGTCCGTAGGTACAATAAATATTGATACAGGATCAAGCGCAGGGATGGCGTACCACCACAGCGGTCGTTTCGTCACATGCACACAGTGCGTTGAGAGAGAAATGGTACCAGTCAGTTGATGCCTGCATAAGCAGACGACTACTCTAAAGCAATCCTTAGAGTCTATATACAACAGTCACTGTGATTCGTCACAATGAAAACATTTTCATTTTTCCAACCAATAGTAAGGAGTGACATGTTGAGACAGGTGGAAACATCCAGATGATTCGCAAAATGCAGTCTGGTTCGTGCCTCTCGGGCGGTTGTCCAGTAGCTAAATGCGTATCACACGTAAGGGTAGCAGACTTTTCTAGAAAACTCGAGCAGAGTCACAGACGGGACGTTGACTTTGGAACATTCGAGTAAGGCCGCCAAAATGTCTAAATTCTGGGGATTTCCTGAAAGTCCATTAAAGACTCGAATGGCTAGACCAATTACAGATGACGATCCTTTACCTGACGGCTGGGAAATGTTGATCGATCCAGAATCACAGTGGCCCTTTTTTGTGGATCACAGGAACCGCAGAACGAGTTGGAAAGACCCCCGGCGCCCAAAAGCGTTGCAGGTATGTACAATGTACATGTGCACGTCTAGGCCAGACCTACATGTACATGTATTTACCATGTTTAGTGGCAGCCCGAGTACGACATTTAATGACAAAATGAGTTCGTAACGCTGTGAATATTTTATTCGGTTTTGTTTTTGAAGTAATTTTTGGAGAGAATGTCATAAGAAACATTTCAATATTAAAGTTTGGATTCTATCCGAATCAAAGAAAAATTTATTTAACTCGGGATGTTTTGGGATTTTTTTGGTTCGCCTACATGTAGGCCTACATGTGTAATGCAGAGCAAAATGTGATTACTTTGTAGACAAATGTGAGTGTGAATTTTGACTGAAGAGCTTAAAATTCACATTTTTCGTTTTTTTGTGCCTTTTTTAATGAACTTAATGCTGGCTTCACTTGAAATGTCAAAAAATTTGAAATTGGAAATTAAATAGAGGGGCTACAGCGTGCAGGAAAAAGACAAAATCCAAAAAGGGTAGGCCTAGTTCCTACTTCTTTATAAAGTAAGTAATACTGCCAAACCAAAATCATGAACATGGCCAAGAGAAGCCAAGATGAAATGACTAAAACATGTTCAACAACAAAATGCTTTGGTTTGTTACTGACATGACTGATGTCACAACTGATGACTAGATATGCCCAGGCCAAGGGTCAGAATTTACAACTTTTAAAAAAGTTGCACATATCCTGTCTTTTTTTACTGTTTTTGATAAGAGCATGAAGTACAGTACAAAATGAGGGTTATTTTCATCCAGACTAAGAATCATTTCAGAGTTAGGCCTCAGCCCCAGATTGAGAACCTCTTGATGCCAGATGATGAAAAACACTTTTCCTTATTTGTTCCCCCGTGTACACTCGTTTAAGAATTTTTTTTCATTTTCGCAGTTGATATATTAATGCATTGTGCTTGATTGGGTCAAAGCACAGTTGCTGAAGTTAACTGGCTGAACGGCCATTTGTATACTCCTTTGTCGTTTCTGGGCACTGACTTTGGATGTAGGAAACACCTGCAAATATAGAAACACATCTGACTTTTTTTCTTTTTTGACGTTAATTGACATCCGTTAAGTTTTATGAACTGAAATTTGACAGGATTGTTTTAAACTATGTGCAGGTTGCTGTTTTCAAATTTTGACTTGCATCTAATCTCGACTTCTTTCTACCAAGCAGTGGGAGCACTGAGAAAGCACCTGTCTAGTCAATCAAATTGCATGCGAACGCGGTCACGACCCTGCAGACTCCTTTATTTCTAAATTCAAGGGAAGTCTGCAAAAGCACCTGTAATTATGAGTAATGATTGTCAAAATACTGACAGTTGTTTTGTGTCACATTGAAATTGACTGCTGACATACATGTACATTGTACAAACATGTACATACACATGTACATGTAGCGCTGTACATATTTACAGTGAGTGTTGTCTAAGTCAGGAGCCTCGGGTCTTTTTCTTTTGTTGTAATTTTGATGTTTTATATGAATAAGAACTGTATACCTGTATTACAGACTTCCTGATGCATGCTTTCTCATTCAAAACATGTTTCTGTTTTATGTGTGTGTTTGTTTTATTGTATTCTGCTTATAATTTCTAAAAATCATATTGGATAGTTGGTACATCTTCAGTAGCAAAGATTTCTCAATAATTGTTTGTTACGCATTTATCCTCATAGGCCTTCATGGATTCAGCAATTGCAGGAGACAACTTCTTCCGGAGTGCATTTGACAACCAGGACCCGTTTTGGCAGAACACCTGGGATCCATTTGGTCCGGGAGGCCGGCATGTCAGTCGCAGTCCCAGAGGGAGCCCTTCTGTGCAGCGGAGGATGCAGCCCAATATTCAGGATGTTCGGCGCTCTCAAAGCCCCCAGCCAGGCGGAAGGCTCACCCCAACGCTAGAAAGCCAGATGAATCGTTTGCATACCCATGGGTCACCCCACCCTTATCCAGAATCCAGAGTCCCTGGCCATATCCACCATGGGTTGTCCCACCAGTACATGGAAGGCCGGACCCCTGGCCATCAGCACCAGGTGTACCCATCAAGTCCCAGAATGCAACAGCATCATCACCAGGCTCCCCATGATGGGCGAAGGGTGCCCACAGATGAGCTTAGGGCTCACCGTCTTGACCCCCAGCATGAACATCTATCAGAAGAGGGGGAACACGTGATACATATACCCATCAGAGTGGAGGGGCGGGATAACAGAAATAGTGCTCCATCCCCCTACGGGGAACCCCATGAGATTCATTCTACTGTGCCTCCACAGGGTATGCCAAAGCCAGTACCTGTTCCTCAGCAAGTGCAACCTCAGGACCCTCAAAGACGGTACGTGCCCATCGAAGAGGATCAGCAAGAAAGCGGTAGTGCTGTGCCAGCAAGTCCACAGCAGTTTCCCAGGCAACTGGACCTCAAGGATGAGCAGAGAGATGCAATAGGGGATGAGCATTATTCTCCAAAAGACTGTCTTAGGAGTGAAGAACCAGCAAGTCCAAAGCCGTTCCCTGTGCAGAAGGAGTGCGAAAATGAACAGACATTCAAGACAGAGTGGAGCCAGAGTGTCCAGCCTCAGGAGCAGAGGGGCTCCCAGCAGGCTGAGGCATCTCAAGGAGACAAGCCACGTCCAGTCAGCAAGGAGGCAATCAACTCGCTGAGTGGGCCAGCAAATGGCACCCAGGAGCCGAAGGGTACGGCGGAGGCAGAGACCGTACCCGCACTGCCAGATATGCCAACCCAAGTGGTCCAGATCCGTGACATCCTGGCCAAGATCCTCGAACTGGGTGGTGATATTGAGGACTTCACAGGCCACAAGGGCAGCAAGGAGTACCTGCGGATTGAGGAGATGCTTATGAGGCACATGCTGCAGCTGGACAATGTGGACACAATGGGGGACGAGCGCATCCGGGGAGAGCGGAGGATGGCTGTTGTCACAGCCCAGACGCTGATGTCACGGCTAGAAAAAAAGGCTCTGCCTGCAGATGTTTAAGGCAATGAGGGAAGAGGGTTAAACAAGCAACTCAAACAAGAGGATTTTCCAAATTCTAGCTTTCTTTCCATTTCGAGCTTCGTCCCCAAACTTAAGAGTTTTATGGTACCAGTAGGTAATACATGCACATGTAAAATCATGTTTTGCTGGAGGAGCATTGATCCCTTCCAAATATGGAAGTGTTTAATTTATTTGTAGTTTGAACAGTTTAGGCAGGTAGACAGTTCAGTGTCACAGACTAAGCCTTGCAAGGAGATGAAGACAAGGTTTGGGAAATCCTGTGTTCCCCACCCCAAAAAAGACTTAGTTTTAACTCAGATACATGTATTTCATGCTCTTGTATTTTCGGACTGTTCAGAATTTCTATTTCTGTGACCACAACATGCAATGAAGGCAGTGAGTAAGTGGCATACTGACTCTACATGAACATGGACGTGAATTGTCATTTGGTACATTTATATTTTTAGGGGAGGCTTTGAATGAGATTATGCAATTTCTATGTATTTGTGAATATTACACCAACTTTCATGGCACATGTGTTCATGAAACGTGGCTTTCATGATAATTTACTGTATAGACCGATTTATTGACACCATGACTGCAGTGTCCCTGTCACTCAGGTGCACCTTCGTAAATAACGATGAACTTGACAAGCGTGATTTTAACTGGCAGTGCGCTCCCATTGGCTGATGGCTGCATCTCTTTTGTTCAGGCGCGTGGAGACACGGCAGTAATGGCTCCTGCTTCTTATCACCGAATCTGTCTGTAAGACGACAGTTCTGTTTGTTGACAGATATCACTACCTTTTGGATGCATGTTGCTTCACAAGTACATGTACCATCCTTATCTAGATGGCGTACCTCTAGAGAAACATATTTGGGATGGTATCTGTACATGTATAGCAAAGCCTTGAAAAATTCGAATACTTTCTAAACATCTTAAAGCTATTGGAATTTAAACATTGAATGAAAAAGAATTTTAATTCATTTGTGTGTGGGTTTTTTTTTGGGGGGGGTGATTAGTGTGATGTTAGAGGAGGGTTGGGGGAAGGTGTCAGGAATGTATTTTTTGAGCCACAGTGCATTCTCTTCCCTTATCACTAGTAAAGTGTATGTAAGCAAGGTCATTTGGTTGGAGGGTAAACATGGTAGGAAACAAGGCTGGAAGGTTTTTTTTCCCACCACCAGCTGCCTGAACTCTATTATTTGGGAAGGGGGTGTATATCCCACCATCTTCCCATTTCAAGAGGACAGTGCTGGACAGGTGTCGTCTTTCTGATTAGAAAAGGGCAGTTGTTACCTGTTTAAGGGACACCCTAATATTTTACGGGCTACATCCCTATCTCCTCCATTGTGGAAATGAATTGCCTCTGAAGTTTGGATTTATATGTAATGATTATTACTACTACCGGTATGTCTACTATGTGTACATAATGCAGTCAGTGTGCAAACTTATCAAGCTAATTGCTACAGTGCCATTCATGCCAAAGAATGTAAGGTACAAGTAAATTTTTGCCAATATGTACATGTATGCATTTACATGTATTAAATTTGGAGACACTGAGCACAGCCTCAATCATGGGGCCCTGTTGTCACAGGCTCTATTATGAACATCAAACAGTTCTGACAAACTTGGTAGATAATCTTACTGACTTGGTCGAGAGTAACCTGACTACAAGATTCATACACGTGGTTGGGAAGACAATATTTTTACGTTGTCAGGCCTTCTACTTGTGCATGCAGTTGTCCAAAGTGGATAAAATGTAAAGGACTGAAGCTGTGCATTGTTGTGTAAAAAAAAACAACAGAGTAGGAACAATATGTGTGTGGCTTGTGTGGGTATGTCAGGAGAGAGGTATATTTTTGTACAATTTCACAAATGTAGTGCACTATTTGAGAAGCATTAATGTTTTCATTGTGTGGCTGACAATTGGCAGTAGTGTCTATCATAAATACAATGTATGATTAACTGCAATTCAGATGATTTCAACTACAATCATGTACAAGTTTCCGGGCTAGAAAAAAACCCAGAAACGGAAACAATTAAATATATTTGTATTCATGTAATTTACAAAATTTTGGCATAACCCAGCTTTGTGTTCAAAATGGTACATGCATTTATGCATTATTATACAGATCTTTGGAGGTACCATTTATTGAAAGAGAACCACAAGTTTACATGTCTCGCACATTTGTGAAGTTTACATGTCTCGCACATTTGATGCCGGATGCATTGTGGCAATGTACATGTGCGTGCTTACGTGGAAATGCCTTGGTGGTCAAAAATATTTCTGTTGTACATGTACCCTACCTCCTTGGTTGTACAGGTTCAAGAGGCCTCTAGTTCTGATTGCCGGAATGGTCCATACATGCACACACTGTATATGTACATGAAGGCAGCTAGGATGAACTGATATGTGCAAGAAATGTGAGAGATATTCAATGTAGGATACGTAAGTTGTAGACATTTACTAGGCATTACATGAATGCACACTGTAATACTCTATCTGTGTTTGATCTTGCTCACTGGGCTGATTTCCGATAATTGTCAAATGATGACTATATATAATGTTAACTGCAAATTGAAATAAGACTATTCTGTAGCTAATGGAACTGTGTATTCGAAAATAACAAGGAAACACTTAGCTGCAGGGACTGTATACAGGGTATCTCACCTCTGTAAACATCCGCTTGTATTCTCCGGTGTGGAGAGGTTTTATGTGTGTGTGCTTTGATTGTGCATGAGGAGAGATCATGAAAAACTGCATGCACCAATGCATGCCTGCAGTGCTTAACAATGTTATATCCCATGAATTTTCCTGAATCCTCCAAAATCGACCCTGTTTGAACCATCCTTTGTACTTATTGCTGATGGACGCTAGTCCCTCGTTCACAGTGGATTTGGGTGTGACAGTCATGGCAGTATCGTGGAATCTGGCAGAGTTTCACTGGGCGTGGTTGGTGGCTCCTTTTAATGGTGGAAAGCGCTGTGTGGGGTTGTGTACAGAGCAGCTGCCATTAGTTAGGACTGCTGCAACTGCCCAGTGACAGTGCTGCCTTTGTTACTGGATTCATCTATAGATGAATGTACATTGACTACTGAAATCCTCCAAATTCTTCCAAGACCATGACAGATTTTGAAGGATTTGCAAAGTTAGGCTCAATGGAGAGATGGTTTGCTGTGTTCTTCTTTAGTAATAGGTCCGGGCACCGATAACATGAGGCTCTGCTCACAAGTGCACTCTCTTATGGGAAGCATGTAGTCGTTAGAGCGTGGTGTCATCAGTGCACGGGCCTACATGTACATGTATTGGAGAAATTTCTAGTATTCTGTAATATAAAAGGAATATTTAAAAATGTGGCTTCTTCAGTAGCATTGGGTCATTTGGCCCCAACTGTAAGTGTCTTTGATCAAAGACCCTAAGAAGATTTGAGATTCAGTATCTGTAATGAGATCAATTCCAATAGTTCTCAATCCTTCAGCTACATTAATATCAATTTTTTCACAGTTTTAGGGGGTTGGAGTTAAGGGTCATTACAACAGTTACTGCAATTCACTTCTTGCAGACATTAAAACTCATAGGTCAGGTTTGGGGCTTGCATAGGAAACATCTTGCGCACATATTATGAAATTATTTATTTCCTCAAAGGCTCATGAATAAACCTTATATAAGCCCATGTTTTTCACTTTACAAATATATATATTAGGACCTTACTCACCTTGAGGCACACAGCGGATAATTTTGTAATTTTGCCCCCTAAAGTTTATAAATTGGAACGTAATTCAGATTGCAGAAAGGCTGATTTATGCCAGTTTTGTTTGGGTTTTAGAATGTCTTTATATTATTTAAGGCATACAATGTACGTGTAAGTTGGGTTTTACAACTCAAATAGTAATTTTTGAATTTGACTCTTTGCATGTGTCACATCGTGCTTTATGGTGCTATTCAAAAAATGAAAGTAAATTGACTTTCCTTTTATTTACATTTACACCGCTGTTCAGTGATTCAGCATTCATAATGTAGTTGTCTTGAAAAATAGAACTAAGATGTTCTCGGCATTAAGTATCAATAAATCCAACCATGAATGAAATCACAAGCAAGCTTCATGTAACTGTAAATTGTGTATTGTGTGTGAGTTATGTATTTTAGCTATAATTTGGGGCCTAATTCATTCACTTTTAAGATTCTATTATATTACATTTTTTATTAGAATTTTGCTCTGTTTATTTCAATCTGAAAATTAACACGCAATGTGCAGTCAAAAATGGAGTAAAGATACATGTACATGTATTTAAAATCTAACAGTCTTCATATTCCCTTTTTATTCATCAAACTGTGAGTCATTCCAAGCATACATGAACATCCGTCTTCAAGCCCAACAAGTTATATTTATAGACAAAGGTATTACAATCTATCATTACTCTGGACTTACATGTACCTAGTTTCATTAACCCTTCGCAGATTTTAACTGCTAAACCCCTTCACAAAATCAACCTGTGTTGACTACTCGAATGGGATAATTATATTTTAACCCATGCGTTAACCTATTTAAATCGTTGACCTTAATAGGCTTTGATGTACAAATTAAAAGTATGATTCAGATGGCAAAAGGCAAAACTGTACACGTGTACATATTCATGTACAGTACGGCACATTAGCTCTATGCCAGAAAGTTCTTTGTGCATCTACCAAACACATTTTATATCATACAGTATGAATCGATTAAAATCAAAAAAAGGATAGTTAACAACTTATTTGTTGAAAAGACTTGCATTGGTACGTCAGAAAATGTCAAAACACGTAACACACACAAGGCACACAGCCAACAACATTAACAAGGCTCGAATTACGGGTATAATGCACTGCAGATACACTCTGAACTGCAACACACCACTTGTCAATGTTGCTTGGTACCCACTACCTAGATACACTGAGTGCACAGGTTACCAAAAATACCAACTAGTGGTCAGTAAATACTCAATGACCTTTGTTGGTCATACATGCAAGATGAGTAAGGCTGCATCCAAATCTGTTGTTTAGAGCTAGGGTCTAGGACTTCACTCTATTGAAAGTACGTGGAAACTTGCAGACAATAGACCTAGCCGTAGCTCTGGAAGCCCGTTTCGGACACGGACTAAGATTCTAATAAGCTACATTGTGGTAGGGTTATTTAAGTAATGGCAGTTTTAGACTGTGCTCCCTTCGCCCATTTCATTAACTCTACACCCAGGAGTAGGAGGATGCCAGACATACTTATCAGTGTATGTTTTGATGTCAGTGTATCTGTAATCTGGGTCATAAACATGATGACTTTCACCCGTAATGAATAATGAAGATCAACACGAGCACACTGAGGTTATTTACTTGTCAGTATTGCATTATCTTTTCATTACCACAGGTCTTGAGGTTTTCGAAAATATTTACACAGATTGCATTGCTTTTAATTCAACATGGCTGACTAGTATGTGACAAATCATGCTGGAATGAGGCCTTGTCCAAATTTCTTGGCTGTGTTCAGTTTTCAAGCTAAAGCCAAGTACATGTAATGTGTGCACGGCGAAGGTCTGATGAAGGTCTATCCTTTGGGTCAAGTCTGGCAGCAATCGGAGCCACTCAGTTTTCAGCAAGAATGACTTTAGGCACAGGATTACATTAATTAGTGTGAAGGTCTTTGAAAAAGTGCACAAAATGCCCACTGCATGTATCATTTTGCACATAATGTGCAACTTCAACAAAGCCAGCCTTCAGGCAAGAAAGATTCATAAACGTACAGCCACCTACAGTACGAAATTTCTCGATTTTCAGAGGTCACTGCCTTTCGAGGTATATTTAGACAGGCTATTTCTACTTTTAGGTTTCAAATGTCCCCTTGCCATTACCACACGTTCCTTGAACAGAGAAGCAATGAAGTGCGACATCCGTTGCTATGGTGTTGGTTCTACACACTGACTGATCAGCTGAAATGTCCATTACAAAAGCGTAAGTGAACAACCGAAGGGCCTTTGTGTGAAACCATTTGCGATCAACAAAAGGTGCCTTTGTATAGCAGCTCTATTTCCCATGGACAATGCAGAAAGTTTGTCCCACACCTGTTCAATCCACACTTACACAATTACAGGTTGTTTCTGTACCCACTTCTTTTCCTTGTGTCACATTTGACAGGGATGTCAAAAAAGCTTTTTGCTAGCACAAGCCTACAGGCGGTTATAGTGTTGACAATCATATTGTACAATGATCCTGTACATTTTCAACAAAAGCCTTCCAAAGACTACATTACGAACTGCTTCACTGCTGCCTTTACAATCTTCCAGGAAAACAGAAATGAGATTAGAACATGCTTCCAGCACAAATGGCCATTAAGCACTTATTCCAAATCCAACCTTCCTCAATCTAACCATGTACCAGTACATGTCTTCAGTACATGTACATGTATTACACTTGGCTTTTTTCTCTTTTTTTTAAGGTTTCTGTTTTTGGCTTGGTGTTGTTTTTTGCGTCCAGCCTTCCGTTGTTTGAACACATTTTGACACCTTTTAAACTTGAGACTTTTCTTATCACCAAACTGGAATATCAACATTTTCTACAGCTCATGTAGAATACAAAGTATTCATTCCCAGACTTTTTAAATGTCACTAATTACAACGCATTTCGTTATCTACATATTGGACTTAAATCTTGAACACCTCTTATACTTACAGGGTATTGGACAGCGAACCTTTGTGGGGAGGGGGGCAATAGGAAGACTCCGCCCCCTTGCTTGCAAGAAGGTTGAAAACAAAGTGTCCAAAACTTGTTATGAAGTTTGCAATATTCTTACATGTTAACATGGGTCTCTGTATTTTTTAATATGAGCGAACGGCAGGTGGAACGGTTGAACAGTCTTCCTGGTTTAAAGTCTTGTCAATCACGGGTCTGTACAACAGGTCAACCTGCAGGGGGTGGAGGAAAACAGAAAGGAAAAGGAAAAGATGTTGGAGAGAAATGTCATCAGCAGGCCATCATTGGCTCCTGGCGTCTGCCCATTGCTATGCTACATCCCACACATTCCAATATTCCATCAGACTGACTGCCTCCATCACTGTCTACCAAGACATACTTGCACGACAAGCATGAAAATCACACAGTGCGCTCAAAGGAATGGCACATTAACTGACGGATATGCAACAGCCTGCTTCCAAGTAACTGGAATTGAAGGCTTCTTGAAAGATCATGCTCTCCATTATCGGTAGTGTAATTCTGAATATGAAAGGAAAAAAATTATCCGAACAATGAGAGCTGACATTCTCCGCAGGTCAGACCTACCTTTCCACTCTCCACGTTCATGTCGCTCAGGGTGTGTTTCCGCCAATGCTCCTCAAAAGGCTTTGGTGTCTGCCCCTCCAGAGGCTTGCTGTAGTCATACTCATCAATACGACTCTGAAATAGCCCAGAAAAAACCGAGCATGTGGAACATTTTAAACCTGTGACTTTGACTTTTCATGACCTTAGAAACTGCTCCGCCACACCTGCACATACAGACTGCACACACATTATACTTCTAAAACTTCTCCTCTGTAGATGATTTTCCTCTGTGGGTTTTGCCTAACAAAACACCTTGGTCTTTTGTCATGGACATGAAACTCAAGGCAACAACAGCCTTCAGCAATAGTACACTGCACTATGTTGTGGAGGCTGAGCACGTAAGGAGTGGCCATGTGTCACAGCTAGGCAAATGTAACACCATTCGTATTCTACAAGAGGTTGATGAACACTTTAGACCCGTCATGTGAGAAAACATGAAGGGTTTTGTCATCATTTTTACATCATTCTGGAAGAAAACCAAATTGGACGTTAATCCAACAGTGAACCAGTCATTCCAATACGGCACTATGTGCCTGCCACATCTGAGTGCCATGACTTCTACCAATGTCAAGTCTCCCACCTTGTAATCTTCCCTCGCATGTGCCCCTCGGCTCTCCTTGCGTGCCTCTGCTGCCACCATGGTCTGTACGGAGTTAATCATCAGATTCTGCAGCTCCAGGGCCTCGATAAGGTCGGTGTTCCAAACAATGCCACGATCGTACAACTGGGAATAGTCAATCAGAAAAGGAATAAAAGGATTGGGAAAACGAGAGAGCAAATTCTTTTAACTCATAAAAAAACCCCACAGGCCCCAGTTTGTACCTTCATGTCTTCCATGGTCTTGTATGAATCCATGATGAGGTCAACTCCTTCCTTCAACGTCTCGCCAGTGCGGAACACAGCAGCGTTATTTTGCATAATCTGAAACAATAAGAAACAAAGCACCATTGATGCTAAGTGATTCCCAAATAAACGTGACATTCCAAAGACAGAAATGTATTTCTGAGACTCTAAATTGCAGGGTTGCTGAAGGCAAAAGAGTGAATGTCTGCCACTTCGCGTTTACTATGCACTGCCCACATACCGTTAAAGCCAATGCTCATAAGTCAGTATTTCCAAAAAGAATTCAAAAACTTCTTCTAAGTGCTGTCACCCCAGTCTGATGGGTTGAAATGGACCAGTATTTAGAGGCTTTCCCAATGCACATCTATGGCAAAATGGTCTGCTCGCAGGCCCTATGCTCTTCTCTACGATTTGACACTTATGATTGGTTACTGTCAACAGGCCAACAACGGATGTAGTCAGTTCCTCAAGGAATCAACAGGATAGCATGTGCTGCTGGTACAATGTACTGACTTGCTTTAAGCTGAATGCGATACCTTTTTCAAGCACTCTGGAATAAATTAGGGACAGGGATATAAATATTGAGATATTACACAAAGACAATTATCTTTATTGGATAGGTGAACCATTACTGGGCCATGCTTCTCTGGTGTACCTTCTGCATGTTCAGCCTGATATCAGCAACCTTAGTGTTGCCATCGGCAAAGCGCAGCTTGTCAATGTTGGCAACGGAAGCTTCACCAGCATTCTGGTGAGGATGAAGAGAGAAAAAAAAGATAAGAAGTAAAAATTATGTGGTCGTTCATTTACGTCCCGTAAGTCACATTCAAACGATAGCGCATGTGTATTTGTGGATTGAAGCAATTAGGACAGAACGGATTAGAACTAATCTCAAACTTAGCATTGGAGTCAGAACTTTCAAGATAAAATTCTCTTTAGATGCTCATTCCAGTTCCCTAGAGGTCCATTCTATGCAGCATTTAAACACTTCAGTCCTTGAAACGAGACAAACTAGCTGATCTGTTTTGCCAATCAATACGACCAGTTAAGCCTTCACGCCAATGCCAAAGTACAACTAACTGAATGTCAGGACCCATTTACAATAAAATTTGCTGGAGTTGAAGTCTGTTCAACTTTGCGAAAATACTCGGCTCCTATATTTGATCTGCCATCCCAATTTTGACTTTGTATTTGCCCAAAATATTAACCAGTCTCTTCATTAACTCAAGAGCAGAGTTTAAAGAGCAACTCCCAAGACACGTTTGCTTACTGGTTTCAGTTCAGGCATGGCTTCACCAGGCTGGTTCTGCTCAATGATGGTGTGAGCACAGGCACGCCCAAAGACAACCAGATCCAGAAGTGAGTTGGCCCCCAGGCGGTTGGCTCCGTGGACCGATGCGCAAGCTGCCTCCCCGCAGGCGTACAGGCCAGGCACCACCTTGTCTTCCTCGTTCTCGTACACGATCACCTTGAAAGATAAAAGCAAGTCTTACTTTGAAAGAGGAATGCAGAATACAGATAAAGCCAAACCTAGCACAATTGCAATCAAGTCATCATAATGACAAGATATCTGGACAATTCCTAGACCGGACAGTGACTCTCATGATGAATGTGTATTGACAAAACACAAGCAACTGCTCAGATCATCCGCACAATAACGCCTTCTACAAGAAGGAATGCACATACGTGAACAGGCTTCACTTTTGCTTGCACACGGAGAATGGGACATGAAAGATCCAGATTTCATTTTAAAGGTATGTACATGTATGTTGTAAGTCACCGACTCATCTGGTCTCAAGACAAGTCACATACTATTCAAATGAAATCTGACAAGAACGCTTCTTGCAAAATATCTACAGTGTTTTATTAGCTATCGTAAGTGAGCATGCAACTTTGTACAGTGTTTTACAATTTTTAGCATGAGTAGAAAGTGAAAAACAAGAAAACTGGCTGATCCGAGGAAAAGTTGCATGCCTACATAAAGGAGATGTGGCCTCGTTTGTCTTTAAAAACTACTGTAGCTCCCATTGTATCTGGAAAAAAAAGCCTGCTTTGAGAGTGGCATGGAAGTGAATTAGTGTGCACGATGTGTGGTTAAGGATCGTGACACATATTAAAGAAAGAGTCAGGGGTTTTGAATCCAGCTGCTGGCCAGTCATTGTGGGCTTAGGCAAACTGGCCATCAAACAGCCAGAAAGCAGCCTCTGATGGTCTGGCATCCCGTCAACAGGAAAATGCAACTATCCCCGGCTATTTCATGGTTTCATAGCTAGGCAATCGCAAATCAACAAAGGCTTGATGAGCCAAATAGCTTGGATAAGATTTGCTTGCAGTGAAAATGAATTCACTGGAGGAAGTTTTCACTATCATCTTAAGGGAATTTGTTGTATAGGTAATGATACAGATATTAATAATGAAAAGAAACATGTTCTACATGGATGCATAATGTCACATAAAAGTGTAAAGTCTTGTTTATGCTTCTGACAAAGTTTGATATGCTTTTTTTTACCATGTGCAGAGAACCAATCACAAGACATACACTGGTAGCAAACTGTTTCGGCTAAGGAGGTATTTTCCATGCCAGTATATTGTGACCAGATGCCTTCTGCTTTCATAGAGGTTGAACAGTTTTGTGTGCAATCAGTTGAAAACTGGTCACATGCATTCAATAGCTCACTGCACATGTACATGTACATACATGTGCAACAGCTCTTGCACAGACGTCTGCAAACATACATGTACAATGGACGTTTTCACTAATAAATTCATAATTTATGCACCCATGCTCACAAATGGCCGTGGCGGCGAGGGCCATTGAAAGTGTACCTGGGTGCGATTTTGATTATTTTCTCCCCGGTTTTCTGGCTTCGTTCAGGTTTTTCTTCATCAAATTCAATGAAATTGTTTTTTTTGCTATTTAGTTTCTGATCTAAGAGAGAGACAATGATCAAAATTGCACCCCTGTACATTTTTAATGGCCCTTACTGCCAAGGCCATTTGTGCGTATGTGTGCACAATTATAAATTTATTAGTGAAAAGGTCTATTCCATATATACCTGTCCCTTGTAGTTGGTTGGTATCCCACCCATGTTGTAGTGCACTGTGGGCAGCACGGGCACCGGGTCCCGTGTCACGTCCACACCGGCAAAGATCTGGGCTGTCTCAGAGATGCCCGGTAGCCGGGTGGCAAGCTGCTGAGGTGGCAGATGGGAAAGCTGCAGGAAGACGTGGTCCTTCAAGGGGCCAACCCCACGTCCCTCCCGGATCTCGATGGTCATGGAGCGCGAGACGACGTCACGGGACGCCAAGTCCTTAGCCGTCGGGGCATAGCGCTCCATGAAGCGCTCGCCTTCACTGTTGATGAGAATGGCACCCTCGCCACGGCAACCCTCAGTGATGAGGCAGCCAGCGCCGTAGATGCCTGTAAATAAGCGAAAAGACATTCCATCACTGTAACTTCAACACATCATTCTTCAACAATCAAAGGACTTCATTTGCATAAGTGGGCAGGGCCAAGCACAGCACATTCTATGATGTCTCACCTGTTGGATGGAACTGCACAAACTCCATATCCTGATTGGCTATGCCAGCTCTGGTTATCATGGCAGTGCCGTCCCCGGTGCAGGTATGGGCCGAAGTGCAGCTGAAATAAGCACGCCCATAGCCCCTGCAAATGAAAAAAAAAATGGCATCCATGCAGTCAAGCAGCCAACAAGACTATAGTTAAAGGAAAAACATCCCTGTTTTGATAAATTGAGCCCTGTCACAATACAATAACCAAGTTTTCAACCTACTTGCATGTAATTAAGCAATGAGGATGCGTCCAAACCACATATACCACAGACCTTTCAAAAGCACAGGCATCAGTACCATATACTGTACCGCAGGTTATGAGAGTCTATGTAACCACATGCACTAGGGTAACTACAGTTACGTACACAAAATGATGGTTGTTGTGCATTGGTCTTCACTTGAAATGGGCTTCTTTTCTTTTCAATTAGCTACTCAAGAACTTCCATTACACTGTAACTATCAAAGGTTTGTGGTAACACAAAGCAGAAGAACATCTTTTGTGAAAATGTAAGGTGCTAAAGAAACTGGGTGGTGTGCATCTTGATGCTCTGATCAGTAGTCTTGAGGGGGTTGAGTCCCAAAATGACAAACTTACATTATGTAACCAGAAACCCCTACACTTCCGAACTGTAGTTTGAAAGCTGTAACCTGACACTGGACATAGGCGTAGAGAAATTTATTTGTTGTCGCTTGATCCCCAACTATCTACCTTCTGCCATGTTACTGTAGGAGTCGTCAAAATTAAATGAACAATTTTTGGAGGCATTCTCTGAATGAATAAGCTATGTTGTTTTGTTATAATTAGAAACTAATCAATACATACAACTGTGCTTTCTTTACAGGACTGAAAAGCTGTTCAGAATTCAAGAGGATTGTTCCGGGTAAAAAGAAAAGTGAATTTGGTTTAGATTTAAAGCCAGATTTAGATACATTTTAGGTATATCCAGGGACTACGGTTGTCAGGAAAAATGGTGGAAAATAACGGAGTGGGAATGAGAGCTATGGATGTTTTATGTCATGAACTACGAAAAGAGATTTAAAGATTGTCTTACCCAGTTGCAAGAATGGTGTTTTTAGCCCGTATCCTGTGGATGGTACCATCTTCCAGACACAACGTACTGATCCCTTGACACACCCCGTCCTCCATGATTAGATCCAGTGCAAAGTACTCAATGAAGTACTCACAGTCATACCGCAGGGACTGTGTGATAATGACAAACCCAAACAGACGAAATCATCAAAAACTGTGACAGATAGGACTCAGCTTTATTTGGGAAGCACTCAATAACTTTCACAAATTGTTTAAGAGTTTAACCAACACATTGCTTGCATATATGACATGCAGTGCTTCATTGAGCACTTGGCTAAGAAATGAGGAAAAATTTCAAGAGCTTTGCACTGGTCATGATTATGACAAACCCCACCAAAGAGTTGGGTTCTCCCAGAAGAAAAGAAGGTCCCAAAGTGACTTCAATTAAACTAGAACTCGGTGGCAATATTCTAAATCTCAGCTTTGCTGACATATTTCTCTGTACTTTCCCCCTGATCATCCGACTGTCAAGTTTTCAGCTTTTAATATTAAAGTCATGTTTGGTTAGAAATGCAGGGAACTGTGTTCATCTTACTAAAAACACATAAATCTTTTTATTCTTTTCGACATTATGGTCAAAATGGACTACAGAGTCAGATATCGGGACCCCCCCATTCAACTTGTCCCACTACTCTCCTGCCTACTAACCTGGCCATACAGTGTATGGAGTAGGGAATGCCCAGTGCGGTCCGCTACAGCACAGCAGCGATGGGCCTGGCCTCCTTTACCATAGTCATAGCTCTGCCCACCGAAGGCTCGCTGGTAGATCTTGCCTTCCTCTGTGCGGCTGAAGGGCATGCCATAATTCTCCAGCTTTTCAAAGAAAATTGTGACAGAGAGTGAGCTTAACCATAGCCCGACACAATTCTAGCTGTGTATTAACTTGCTAAGGTCCACATGTTTCCCGGTCTTAACCCTAACCCTACATAATACTACAAATTACTACTTGTAGTGAAATGCAGCACTGAGTGCTGTCATTTGTAAGAGGACATGACTTTATTGTTCAGTGAAGCCATAAGATACAATAGATAAGACAATGTACCATACAATGCTGTGGCACTACGAATGCACGGCTTTATTGTTCTCTGTACAAGTAACAATGGAAGTAACCTAGCCAGAAGTAGTAATCTGTAGTGCTAGGTCCTTCAGGCTCAGGCTATTACTTAGTATTTTGTAGTACTGTAGCGTAAGCCAAACAATATGCTTGGCGGTTAGGGTTAAACCAGTTTGGAAGGAAAATAATTGAAATTTTCAGGTTAGAGCTATGTGGCACAAAATTTAAGATAACTCCAGGAAACCAGGAATAAACATTGTTTTGAAAGAGTGCAGAGTATATAGAAAAAGAAATTGGAGTTCTTCCTCCAGTATGTCTCATGGCTCATAAAATGAATTATACTTGGGAATGTGTTTTGTACAACTTTCTCTTTTCCTTAAATATGAAAACTATCTGATATCCATCTTGAGTATTCGAAATTTCATATCCCATAGTACAACAGTCAACAACTGGTAAATATTAACCATCATCTCCAATTCTCCCACTAATTACCTCAATGACAGCCTTTGGTGCTTCTTCTGTCATATAATGGATTGCATCTTGGTCTCCCAGCCAATCAGAACCCTTGACTGTGTCATACCTGCCCATTCATGAATATTCATACAAGCTCATTAGCTGCAACAACCTGAACTATTAAATTATTCACAAAGAGAAAATTCAAATACATGTAAAAGAGAGCAGAGTGTACATGAAATGTATAGATGTTGAGGTGCAACAAGATATCATGTGCATTGATGTACATGTATACATGATGCATGCAGGTTTGCACACGTAATGCAATGAAATTATTACCTGATGTTTTGGGTGATGAAGCTGCCTGTAACCAGAGTTGTAATGACTCGAGTGCATGACTCGAATTGAGTCACAATTTCTGGCAACTTGACTCGAGTTCCAGTGACTCGACTTGACTTTTTCCCCAAATGACTAAATTCACTCAATACAATGACTCAACTCGGCTTGAGTTACTACACTACAATGACTTGACTCAAGTTACAAAAATCAGTGACTTGTTAACATATATGTACAGGTATTACACATACATGTACCTCTGGCAAGAGCTTACAAGACGTTTTTACAATGTTACTTGAAAAAAAATCGTAACAACAAAATGACATGTCTTCACAAAGAAGCTGATGTACATGTATTGCAATATTCTAGCGTTTCAACCAGTCATTTTGGTGTGTTTAGCTCCAACACAGTATTTCCATAAAAATCAAGGCATGATGGGTTGAATGTGATTCCTCAGTCAATCTGGAATGGATTATGAGAATGTGTAACTCACAGGTACATGTAACTGTGTGCCTTACTCCTCTACTTTGACTTACATGTGCCATCTCCAGTTATCTGGTTCCATATTGCCCAATGCAGCATTGATGCCACCCTATCATGGAAATCACAATGACCGCCATCAGTCAGAAAAATAGTTAATGACCAAAATAATGGTACTCAAAAAGAAAGAACAAACAGCCACAAGTATTTAATAGTATAATGCCAGACAACTGCAAAAAGACGAAAACTATTTGTAATGCAGTAATGATGGGATTAACTATTTCTTACACAAAGAGCAAGAAACCATTAACTTCTCTCTGCCGATTTCTATTCAGTGTGCATGTACTTTCAAATATCAATGGACAACAAATGGATTACTATCATTGGCGTATTATCCTGGGAGGATTGGGGCATGTATATCCCCCTACACACTTTATTGACCCAGGGATGGGCTATTGAATCATCCCCCACACTTTGTTGTAGTGAGAAAGAAAGACAGGGTGGATTGTGAAGAATTTTCCAGACTTCCCAACAACCAAAATGTATCTAAAAGCACTCAAACAGCAAGAACAATAAAAATCATAAATATGCCGTTTTGATGTAAGATTTGGAGGGAATGTAATACACATTACAGATGAACATGTGAATAATGAACATTGGTCCATATACATGTATGGTGTCATTGCCCCCTTCCCCCCACAATTCCCCGTCCCCATACCTCCAAATTTCTAGCATAAATTTATGCCACGGTGTAAATGTAGCACCCAATTATAGTAATTTTTAACTTGGTGCCCAGAGTTTAAACCTGGTGGGAGACGAGCCAGGCTGTGTGGGCCATCAGGTCGGAGAACACTTTGTTATGTACATATACCTGAGCAGCCACTGTGTGTGATCGTGTAGGGAACAGTTTGGATACACATGCCGTCCTGAAGCCTTCCTGGGCCAAGCCGAAGGCAGCTCGCAGCCCCGCGCCCCCTGCTCCCACTACTACCGCATCAAATGTGTGGTCCACTACCGGGTAGTCGTGGGAAATCTGCAACAAAATCAACGGCGTCAACGCTGGAAAACATACACGATGAATTAGCCCCCAACATTCCTTAATCCTCCAACTTTCAATATTTGAAAGAGACAAGCATGCTACTCGCTCATGAAGAGTACATGTAGTATTGCAAAAATCCCATGCAAAAAATGGATGAGACTCAATTCCAGTCTTAGAACTGGAATCGCAAGTCAGGAAATTCTGAAGTGTCAATTGATTCTGTGTCCGTGAAAGTTTATTCCAGAGACAGCCAAACTACTGCAAGAGGGGTTATGTTCATCAAATTGTGTGCTGCTCGTAAAACTAAAAAAAGTTCCTGCAATAATCAAATTGATCAACTTGATTGAGACAGGTTAAATGTCTTGAATTCTACATGCGGTGAACAATAACAGTTGACAATGTATGACATGTTTGGTCTGTGTTTTGGCATTGAAAACTTGAATTTAGCATAATATTGCGATCCTTGATGGAATTGAATTTTGATTCCAAAAAACACTATGGACGAAAGCTCTGACTGAACACTAATCCGAAATCCTGAGCCTTCCAAGATGCATGTACATCATTGAGGATGGAAAACAAATTCCCCAGCTATTGCATAATTTTCCTTCCAACTCATTCCTTTTGAATCTTTGCAATCATACGTTGCATTCTCCGATGTACATGTACTCCAATTCCATCATTTACACGTCAGATGCAAACTTTCAATTGGAAGGTAACAGCTGGGTAAAACAACTGTTGATGCTCAGGAGTGGTTGCTTCATCAAATTTTTATAATGATCACCGTAAACCTACATTACCTTGTCTAGTAATTTCTGGGACACCCCACTTTCTTTGTTGACCTCTCTTTTTATTATGTAAAAATTACAAATGCATGATAAATGCATATGTACATGTTCATCTACTGTTTACAACAGATATAACAAATCTCACTTCAAAGCCAGGGAAATGAAGACAGATTCAACACTGAAGTTTCATTATGCTGCTTGTGGGTGAAAAACATGGTTATTCATCTAACAAGTATCATCAGCCAGATTTGACTGGGTAATATAATGACTACTAGTATACTCACTGATCCAGTTTTTGCGGTTCCTCCTGTTTGCCTCCCTTCAACTGTGAAATGGAATGGCCTGGCACCAAGGGATGATGTCGCCTGATGGTAAGAGAAAAATCCATCTTGAATACTATACTAGTGGTAGTACATGCACAATGTCGGCAGGCAAGAATTCACTCCCACAAAAATATATCAATGTTTGAAGAAAAACCACATCCTTTACTTTGAATTTCAGGGAAAATTGTTGCAAGAGATAATCAGTGGACTGTGAATACACTGCACAGCACATGTAAATGCACGACATGTGTGTTACAGTACATGTACCGTGTAGCATTGTCTAGCTCCATATACATGTAACTCCATGTTTGTAAATACATTTTGCATATTCCAAGACATTAGCACTCAATATTATGAAAACCAGGGTTCTTAGATAGTATTTGAACTTTATGGTGAAGGTCAGGGTACGCAATCATTGGCATTTCTGGATCATTACAACAAATAAGCATGATGATAGAACCCTTTTCAAGATTTGTTAACAAGATTTTTCAACTGTTGTTATATTAGGTCCAATATGTCTAAATAAGCAACATCTAGAAGTTTCCTCTGGTACAATCTACCGGTAGCAGGCTAGCCTATATGCCATTCACTATTTCTTAACAGCATTGTTCAAGTCCGGCATTTATAATTAGGCTTCCTTGTTAGAAAACGATACAGTGTAACACCCAGTAAAAAAAGGGTATTTATTTCAGTCATGTCAGTTGCCTGCGGACCGTTTGAGAGTTTAAGCTTCAAGGTACAAGCTACCGTCTCCACACATTTAACCTTTGGAAAAAAGTGAATTATGCATGTGACTGGGTGTAACGACAGGCCTAACAAAACATGCCTGACCACCATCTGACCATACTGACGTTAGGCCCAATCCAGGCCAGCTCAGGTAGATAGAAACTGACTGCATCCATGCCGCTTCAGATACAGAAATTCACTCACCGGTTTTGTTAATCGACCAAGTAAACTCACGCCAGATCGGCAGGGTAACTTCAAAATCGTGGCCATTTTCGGATTTTGTATATTTTTTTGTGTAGACCTTCGTTACGTACGTGAAAGATTTAAGAAAAAGCCTACGTTGTACGTGATCTCAAGCGCAGTCCGATTAGTCTGGTGCACAAACAAGGGCACGGTAGCATTCTTCATTTTACAGTGAAAGCATACAAGGTTTCAGACTCTACACAATTTACGTAAACGCGTTACTTAAGACGTCTAGGGGGCGCTATATTTCGTCATTACGTAAACAGCAAGGATAAAGCTCCTCTTGTATGGTCAGCACGGTGTGGAACCACTTAATTAACTTCTGGAGTACGGATATTAAAGATGTAAAACATGTGGCTACTGAAAAGTGTAAATCTGAAAGCTCCATAGAAGAAACCAACACTGTGAATGTCTTTGTATTTGTTAGTTTTTCATCTGAGCATGGAAGAACGAAAAAGCCTTGCCGGCGCTGATCAAACTAATACTTGTAGTACCGACGACATAAGGAAGACTTTAGTGCAAAAGGAGTGCACACGACTCGGAATGGAGAACGCGCACCGTGTTTGTTCACGTTCTGCATGGTTCATTTGGTGTCAGGTCAACTCGCCCCCTGACTGACTCGCCCCTTACCGACTCGCCCCTTTCCAACTCGCCCCCTCGTAAACTCGCCTCCTGGCCGACTCGCCCCCTGACCGACTCGCCCCCCTAGGAACGTCAAGCAAATATGGCCGGCCCAATGTATTTAAAAAAAACCCAATGGTTCTAACCAACGAGGCGACACGAACGACTCACGGACGGTGATGGATATTTGGACATCACCACTAACCACACTGTACTGACCCGATATCCAGTTCTGTTGTTATGTACCCAGTTCAGACAAGCGCTGGCAGAGTTGACCCAACTTGAAATGTTTAAATTTATTTTCGTAATTTTGGGAGTGATTTAACTCGTGATATTCGTATTTTTATTCCTTTTTTTGGAATTGAATATCTTTGAGAGTGTTTTTAATTTCTTTACTAGTAACTTCATGTATATTCTTCCGGTAGCTTTTTTAATTAAACGATGTGATGTAGTTGAGAAGACATCATTCCAATCTTGTCAATTTCCTTTTGGTGTTTCCCTATCTAGTTATACCTGACTAGAATAATTATAACTTACCCCTTTGTCATAAATCATGTCTCCTTAATACTTCCATAGATTTGCGTCGCCGGACATTATGCCTAATATGTACCATTTTTTTTTATCCGAAATAGTCCGCAAAGTTAATTAATATGGTAGAGTGTGGGCAACGGTTGTGGCGCACAAAGTCCCATATTGTTACCTCCAAATTCCACAGAAAGGGAATATCCACCAAGCTTTAAACATTTTAACTATCATAATTCTAAACTTTGAGTGCCCGCTGCAAACCTCAGAACCTATTTTTAAGGGCAGCAATCACCGATTCCATCTCTGACTAATTGTGTTTTTTATTAAATGGTGAATGGGCCGGCCATACGTGCTTGGATAACTTAGGGGGCGAGTCGGTCAGGGGGCGAGTCGGCCAGGGGGCGAGTTGACCTACAATCGTTCGTTTAGTAGGAGCTCATAACGGAAAAGTCGTGCATTAAGACGCACTGTGTTCAAAATCTCAGAAAAGGTCAAGAATGATGCCAGTATCAATTTTGGGCTGGAGACAAATTCTAGCTGGCCATTAATTAGGCCTAATTAACTAATTAAGGCCTTACTTAGGGTAAAATTGTAACTTCTGAACCGTAGGTCCTAGAACAATGGGACTAAACTGTCCGACTCTGCTCAATATAAATAACTTTTGTATAAAGTCCAAACTTCTCATGCCTAAGGATCAATTAGATAATTAGCTAATTAATGGTAATTAGGACAAAATCATATCTTGTGAATTGTACGTCCTAGAACAATGGGACCAAGACTGACGTAGGCTTACCAGTCTTTTCAGATTAAACGATTTTTATGCAGATTCCAAAAAGTCACATCTTGGAATTATTTAGATGATCCGCTAATTAGCCTTAATTCGATGAGATAGCAACTTCTAAACCGTATATAGTAAGACAGTAGGTTAGAGACCGTCAAGTTTCTTGATAAAATCCACTTTCATTTGTGATGTAAAGTTCATTGAAGCAAGGATCAATAACATACTCAGATAATTTCCCTGTTATTCCATCTCCCTTTAATTACATGTACATTAACATGCAAGACTCACAGAGAGGCGCTTGTATATCAGTGCTGTAGGTAATTCTCAGCCACAAAGTCTCCTTAGTGACAGTGACGTTTTGAGGCAGATTTAGCTTTCTTCACTGTCCACAGGATCGTCCTTTCGGCAGTCCCCTCGGCACTTACAAAGTGGCAGACAAGATATCATACTACTGTTGCAACTGCGCTGAGGGTAGCTTTTTTCACCACACTGACATGCTTTTGTTGTCAAAGTGTAGGGCTTATCCTTCCCGGGGACAAAGGTCTTGCTGGTCCATTGGGGCTACAGCTCGCCATCTTTAACCTGCCAGCCCCACTCCCCTTTTTCTGGCAGTAGTGGGCTTGACTGATCTGCACTCCCTCATAAATGACCAGCTGAGCAGCTCTTTGGATATGCCGTTTAAGTGCTCCACGTGATGGAGGCATTGATCTGCAGGTGACTGAACAATGAGTGTATCCAATAGAGCATTATGGACAGAGGCCAGCTCTTGACAGCCGTAAACCTTCAGGTTAAACTTGACGATAACATCTTCTTGTGTTTTGGTTACCTCTGATGGCGCTGAGCTTAACACCCTGAAAAACTGATTCACACCATCTTCCTGCTTTTCTGACAAATACTATAGTCCCACTTCACTTTCCCAACACCAAAAAAGCTACTCGTGCAACCACAGCCAGTGAAGGAGTGAAAGAATAGTAATCAACGGCAGCCTAGTCCAACTTGGTCTCACAGAGATGATTCAAGTTTGCGGTTGAATTTCCGACACCACAAATCAACGTTAGCTTCATTTATTGTTTCATTTAGAGAATGAATGCCAAAATAATGAAGATGATATCTGTGTCATTTGCCCTGACAGTACGAGTACAGCGTTGAATTGCACATCTAATTCCATCCATGATGTGGACTAACATGCGGTAGTCTTCCTCCAGATGGGAGGATGGAAGCATACTGATGATATTGGATAGAACCTCTCTGCCATTTGTGAAGACACAGATGGGGTCAACAATTTTTGAATACAAGAAAGTATTGACTCATCATGTAATATAGGCAGGCTTTGCATGTTGGACCATTCCTGAGAAAGTCACCAAGTTCCCAAGAGGTGGTCCATATCAAGTGACAAAGGCATTACAATTCCTAGGCCTCTGTTCTTCCGGGTGTGCACTTTAAGGGGATGGGTATCTAAATAGTTGTCTCCAACGAAATCGACTTGAGTAAAAGTGCCAGTCCCCATTACCTTGTTCCACTCCCTGTCGCAAAACTCCCTCACACTTTTGCAGTTTTTGCCCCTGTACTGCATGAGATTCACTGTCATGCTCAGATCAGCAACCAACTGTGACTCTGTGGATTTGGCACGAGGGGCTGGAGTTGAGGCAGGGTTTGAGATTACTTTTTGACTGAAGAGGACCCTGCTGCTGCATCAGTGACGGGAGGTTGAGACATTGTCTTCAGCCGAGGAAGGATGCTCGATATGGGGGCTTGATACATTTTACCGTCATTTGCAAAAGCTGCCAGCACGTTTTTTGGCTCAATTCTGTAACTCTGACAACCTCATTTCTGCGATACACAACCACCACTTTGATATTCTGTACTAGTTTCTGATCCTCTTTAGGCGATAAACACCGGGATGATATTGATGATTTTGGAGGCACTGATGGGAAGTAAGAAGACTATCTTGGCTAGCTTGGCTGTTAAGTCAACCTTGCACATCTCTAGGCGCTCTGATACAAATGTGTAGTAAAGACTTTACCTTCAGCCTCCATTGTCCTAAGCAATCTCGACATTTCATCTTCTCTCCCAATGGGTAGGCCGTTATTGATGAACCTCAAGTTCTTTGGGACATTGCCGAAGGAGTTAAAAGTGGGCTTCATCATCGCTACAAGCTTCTCAACATCAGCCTTGAAATTTCTCTGGAATGCATCATAGCCTTCATGGTGTTGATGGTAGCCAGCTGAGGGACAAGTGGTCTTGCTGTATTCGCTTTCATACTCCTGAGTGATCCTGACATTGCCATCGTCGTTTTTATTAAGGAGGTCAAGTCCTCCATGTGCAGACTTTACTACAGCTTTGTTCTGATCTAAGGCGATTGACGAATTCCAGCGATTTGACTTTGTTACCACAAAGTCCCCCCGCAGAAACTCATCAAATACTGATGGCGATGTCTTCTCAAGTCGGAGTAGATCCTGAAGGTGTACAGCTAGCCACCGACCATAGTTGCACTGGCCAGTGATGAAGATGAATGGCATTAATTCCTGCCACACAGCGAAGTAGGTCAGAAAGTCTTTGGGAACTAATGAGTAGGACGCAAAGTTTCTCAAAATACAGTACAAAATTCCATTACTGTGTTAAGAATTAGTCTTGCTCTAATTAACATTGATTAATTAATTATGTAATTGATCCTAGGGTCTGAGAGGTTTGGACTTTACACCAAAAATTGTGTGTTTTGAGAAAAGTGACAATTTACTCTTGGTCCCATTGTTCTAGGACGTACGGTTCACAAGATACAATTTTGCCCTAATTAACATTAATTAACTAATTATCTAATTGATCCTTAGGTGCTTGGTGTTTGGTGCTTACTGTGCGTGTAGTATATTAACCTTTAATTATTCTCTTTTTGTTCATTCCATTATACATCTTTCGTCACAATTAGCCGATTGGTAATGTAATCCTCTGTCAGCCATCACCATGGGAATTTCCTTTACAGGTTGACTGAAAGTTAATACATATCTTTAATTTTCCACACAAGTACATGTATAGGCAGTTGCCATATAGCCCTTATTCAATTTTCTATCTCCCAACTGTTCCCATAGCAGAATACTGAAGAGAGTATCCTGTAAATTTAAGCGGAATCCAACCTGACAACCACAGGTGTCAACAAATTCCCGTAAACTTTCACAAACAAAAACATTGGCCCAATGTCATGATTTTTTCTTTAAAACCTCTGTTTTCTTTTGCAAAATTAACCAAGCTATATGTGATGCCTACTGGTGCAATAATTTTTGTTTACGAAATCTACTAAAATCAGACAAATTACGATCATCTCCTGGGGCAAAATTCATGTAAACCGCATTTTTCGTTTTCACGAAGAGATAAAGTCGTCGTCCATAGATAAAGCGTTAGCAATAAGGGACAAAACTAAGGGTCAAACTCGTTTTGGCGCTTTCACGAAGAGACAAATTTACTTCAGAAATGCATACACTAACCATAAATTTTGCGCCTGGTACGTGCTATGGCAAACACATATTCTGAGTGTGCCACTTTCACTGCAGGCACGAAAGACAAAAGTCACACGAATTTTAGCGTTTTCTCGAACAGACAAAAGTGTCTGTTCGAGAAAACGCTTAGCAGTTTACCAATTGTAATTGATATCTATAAATATTATTTTGCAGTTTTGTATCATTTAAGACATTCTCTTTATTAGAGTAGCATTAGTTAAGTCAAAGGAATGCTTAATACTGGGGAACTAAGCGTTTGAAAAACAGACCAACTTGAAATGCCATTTTCTTGAAACCTCCTTTACTCCCCGGTGAGAACTTTGGTCTCTTTAATTTTGTCTCCTTAATTGTGAAACAGTGACGATATAAATAAGACTTGAGGCTATGCATGGCGAAAGTACTGACTATGTGAAGTTTGCGGTGACACCATGTAATCAAATTCTCTCTTTGAGTGTGTGTGGTTCTGAAAAGAACCCCGGTTCTTTTCAGAACCACACACACTCAAAGAGAGAATTTGATTACATGGTGTCACCGCAAACTTCACATAGTCAGTGACAATATATTGGAAAAAAATATTGATAATACTTTTAATTGTTTGATCGGCATTGACATTACTGCAGAAACTCCTGTACATATTTCACTTATAATACATGTACAGGAGACGAAATGCAGAAACTCAAGTACATAGTATTCTTTGCCACCACATACGTACTAGTCACTCCTCGACGCGACCTGTACTATACTCAGCCAATCACTGAGCTCCTCTTTGCAGCGCTCATTGCTTCAGACCAATCAGTGCAGGCTGTGTTGACACACCGGATGGCTTTTCACCTAATATAAATTTGTTAGTCTACCTCCGAGTTGGGCGCTTGGGTTGTGCAATGCGACCAATGGGCGTTACATAGGGCCTATGCTGTTTTCCGATTGCCACTGTTATTAGTACGCCATTGTATTAAAAGAAGAGATTTTCTGGATCTCACCATGTTTCGCATGACAGACGTCTGTGTTTGCTCCTTGGTTTTAATCTTATCCCTTGGAGGAGCAGAAATTGCCGCGCAATGGGGTAAGTTATTTCAAAATAGTGATTTGTCAATTTTCAGCATCCTAGACTATCAACCCCCCCGAACAAGAAAACGTCAGAGCGGTGGCTCCATGTTTTTGATCTCATGTGTCTTTTTCACCTCTCAGTCAATTTATTTTGATGATATCAATGTTTTAAGGCCAACTTTCGATGTTTTGTTGGGAATATTATTTTGCCAAATGATTTAAAATAATTTCCAACCAGTAGGTTTTAAGTGTTCGTTACAATTCAAGTTTTAAACGTACGATAAATTTGAACATAAAAATTGGCAATTAGTACTAACTGACACCTAGACATAAATACTAACACCAATAACGTACTACAGTGATTCAACCTTCACCTGTACAGCTTAATTTATTTCCTGAGAATTTGTATAGTACTTTACTTGTAGCACAGGCGCATACTCAAGTATGTTTGCATATAAAACTACGACTCTCTTACTAGGCACCCCAAAACCTGAATTGCGGCCCATAATATGCATAGTACATGTATAATAGTATGTAACCATGGTTGGTACACGAAAACGTCAAATGTATCATTTTTCATATGAACTTTATCTCTTTAGGCATTGGATGGTGTTTGTGTGCAAAACTACACCCGAAGAGCACGAACAGGTGTTAAAATAACATCAAATGCTTGCATAAAGAATAGAAAATTGCAAAAATACTTGGGAAAGCAATAAAACCCTGTTCGTGTCAACATGCAAATCGGGTCAAAGCTTAGGCCTACGGTGTAAAACATTATTGTTCAAGAAACGGTATTGTATTTCATTTCACAAAAGTACATTAATACGCGTAACAAACACGTTAGTTTACTGTTAACTTCGTTTACTGTGGATTAATGTTTCAAAATACAGTACGATACTGCACATTTAACGGTAATATTTTGCGTAATCGTAGAGCCTAAATATAGTCCCTTTTTGGCGCTTGTCCGTGACCAATTGATAGATTGATAGGAAAAACGACATTGTATTCGTTCCCAACGGTTTTGATCACTTCTCAAAATCATATTGGAGAAAGGCTTTTGTAAAATACTTGCTAGCACATTAATCTATAGAATCTAAAATACATCAAGACCAGTGTAATTTTGTGTTCTCTTACGCAGATGAAGTTACAAAATTATAATCTATGGGAAATCTCTCGGTAAAAGCTAAAATAAAACAGATCAAAATGTCTTGAGCATTTTACAGTTCATATAAAAAAAATAAACTTAAAAGAAGAATCTGCGTTAATGAAAGATTCTTAAGTATAATCTAATCTCAAGAAGAGCGTCAGGTCAACTCGACTGAATTTGGAATTCGTCACCTGCAGGAACGCAAATCTTTATAACATTGTGAAATTTCGTTTTCACGTATAATGGAAAATAAACGTGCAAAAACATTGCCAGAAAGGTCGTTCATGAAATTCGTTTCTTACGGATCTCTACGTACTTTTTCCAAAATATTACTTGAGAAACACCACGTTAAAATTTCGACGAGTTTTGGGGTCGTTTAAGTTGGGAAAAATTCGTCCAAACCATCAAAATAAGTAATTGAGAACGTGAAGGGAATTATCCGAACCATCCCTGAATAACATAGCTCGATGAAAAATGAATAAGACTGTTTTCGATATCAAAGCCTGGCTGCAAAGCAGTGGGGGGGGGTCCCTGACAGGTTTGCTGTTGGGGCGGGGCAAATCAGCCTTGTGGCATGCTAACTGTGCAGGTATTCTACCGGGATATCTTTTTAAGCTGAAAAAAAGAAAGACTTATTTTAAAAATTCCACTTNCCTGGATTCATGCATCACTTGTCCATAAGACTTCGAGTCACTGCAGCACGAGACCACGTTAACTATTGGTAAACGCATCTCTGAATCGACTCTTTTTGGTTCATTTTCAAAACCTTTTGGTATTCGTGCTACACGTGTTTTTTCTCCAAAAAGCTTGTGAAGGCATATTTCGCTTATCAGCTATCCAAAAACTATGTCCATGAAACTTCATATCAAATGACCCCCCCTGGAGAAAAACCTACCGCCTACAGTTAGTTGTTGAACAAAAATTCTTCAAGCTAATTATAAATCATTCTAAATTTGTCCCGGAAAATGGGGGCGGGGGTTGACGAAAGGAACACTTTCCCATCCGTAGGAATAATAAAAGCGGGGTAGGGGTGTGTGCTGGCGCCATATGACACTTTGATTATGGGGGCGATGTTCATGATAAAGATGTGCATCTGTAATATGTATTGCATTTCTGAAGAATCTTACATCAGAATGGCATATGGTTTTTTGTGGCTTTCCCGTTTTTGAATGATAATTAATACATTTTGCTTTTTGGAAGTCCGAAAAAATCTTCACAATCCGCCTTATCTTTATCACCACAAAAAAAGGGGAGGAGATTTAACGGCCCGTCTCCTGATCAAAATATGTACATGCGTGCCATACATATATGGACCTCTGCACAAAAGAAGTCCACATAATGTAGGGTTCGATGGCGTTGTGTGGACTCGCACACGTCCACACAATGTTTCCCCCTCTCTTAAAAACAGTTTCAGGGGCATTTCGGGGTCAAGGTTATCCGTGGCAAAATGAGGAGGAACAGTCCACGAAATCATCATCAAAAATCCAGCTCGAAGAAGTTTTCCTAGTGGGAGGAACAACAGCAAACCTTAACCATAGGATAACAAAGGAATATCCAAACTTCTTATGTAGAAATGTGTTTGTGTATATGGGGTTGTGATTCAACAGACCACCCCCAACTCAAAAGGCAGAGGGGGTGTGTGGTACCCCTTCCCCCGGGATTTATGCCCATGGGCAATGTCATAAGGCCAACTTTCTCGTTGGCAACTTTTAGAGTCGTTACAAGAAAATTCCAATGTTTAAACCTTCATTAAATCTGAACATGTTTGAGCCATTAATATTTCTGTATAAAACTCAGAGGAGAAAGTCCTGAGAAATATCAGCACTTACCCAACCCTTGCTTATGTGCCACATTGCACAGTATTATAACGGTATTTCTTTTCCATTTACGTTAGTATTTGTTTTTGTAAGTATTGATTAGACTCATTCAGTGCCATATTTGCTAGCACATTGTATTTATCTTTAATGAGTGCATGCAGGATCTACTGAATGAAGGGAGCCAATAAGAATTAAAGCCATTTTGAATAGTGTGGTTAATATTAGAAGCAAATTAATGAATCATTCCATAAAGTTTTTAAAGTACCTTTTTGGTGGCCCGTAATCCAACCATAAAAACCTTGAACAAACGTTATTTTCTAATGCAATATGATGAACCACGTTCGTTCCGACCAAACTCGCTAACCTTATTCGCAAACGCTGCTTTAATCAACGTTGATTAGTAAACCGAGGTTTAACTATACCTTGTTAACCTTTCAAACGATGATTTCACATTATCCCATTAACCACATTTCAACCAACCTTGTAAACCCTATGCAAACTTTCCTTGAACGTTTTTAAATGTACATGTATTACGTTCCGAGGTACTGTGATTACCTTCCACAAAAGATGATTTGACTTGGTTGATGATCCAAGGCTCAACCAACCTTGAGCAAACGTTCCTTCAGAGTTTTAGAGTGTACGTTCCAGCCAACTGCGATAGCCTTTGGCAAACGACGATATCACGCTCTTCCTTGAACTACGGAAAAAGAAAACGTAGTAACATAAAGCGAACTGTTCTTGTTATACTTAGAAAACGTTGGTTCAGCATTGGTAGGCAATCCAAGGACACTTAAACCACGGCCCGTGCTTAAGCCTACTAAGGATGCGTTAACGTTGTTTGATGAACAATGTTTAATCAACCTCGCCTAGCCCACTACAAACGATTTTTCAACGTCGTTTACTGAAGCTCTGTTCAATTCACACTGCTTACTAAAAGCATTGCTTCAACGTTTTATCACTGACCATGTTCGAATTAACCTTACAAAAACATACCTTCAACGCCATCTTAACGTATAAGTGACAAAGAACATGAATCACTGGTACTCACCCATGACGCCAACGTAAAACCAACGTTGACAAGTTAACGCGCATATTTACAGATCTTGGTACGTTACACAGATTTTACACTAGAATAAGGTAATGAAAGGAATGAATTAACAACTGCAATGCAAATGCCTATAATAACGGAATGTGCTTGACCGGTCTTAAATGTGCGTTTAAGGCCGACAACAGGGGTCATGTCTCCCAAGAAAAGAGCCATTTTTGGAATACTCGTTTCCCTTCCTTCCAAAAGCAAGTAAAAAGTTCCAACGTGCTGTCTTACCCAAAAAAAGGTTATATATGGACACACAAATAAAACATTCCCAAATTTCTGGCCCTCCCTAAAACAAGTCCCTCCCCCTAAAATTGGTTCTTGATCCATCATTGATTTTGTTAATATTTACCTTGGTGTCCTGGTGAATATTTTTGTGAGATCATATATCTCCACATTTTCAAAATTGTATTTTTCAAATTACTTAAAATGGTGAACCATACGCTGTGAATAATGTTGAACTGCATGTATTGCTCCACATCAATCCAGTTCCTTCACTGTTGAAAAAAAAGGAAAGATAAGGTTGTGGCGACTAGTTTGCGTTCGATTGTGAAACATTTATGGCAATTGCAATAACGATGTAATTCATTACAATGCGTCCAATCCTGAAGATACAAACATTAGTATTATCATTTATAAGGTCTCTGTGCACAATGACTTAAATAATTCAATAGCAATTACTGACAACAATTAGAGATAACTTAAAGCGTCGCATATAAAACGAAAAACACAACTTACGCGGAACAGGTGCGAGACAAGGGCCAGTTTGAAGTTCACATTGTTATTAAAAGTCAACCCAAGCCACTTTTCAGGTAAGGGCGGATGTTGGGGTGGAGGCAACAGGGCCATGTCACCAAATGAGCCAAAATTCTTTTGAAAAATAATAAAAGAAAAAATGATGCGAGAAAACAAAAGTGGTTTTGGGTGGGTCTTTGTGTTTATTAAAACGTCTCACTGACCCTGTTAGGGTGCTGAATGATTGACTTGTTTATCAAAAAATCACCTGCAGCGGCGAACCGTAAATTACGGGAATTTCGGAAAATATAAATAGGCCTAGCCTATATAAAGAGTTTTGAAACATAAGCATTAAAAACCATTAAAACATAAAACTACAACGTTATTAGGAGCATAAAAATGACAGAGATTGCTCAAAAAGAATTGCATAAGAAAAAAGGAACCACCAGACGAAATGATATGAGTTATCCATAGTGTATGTCTGAGCCCTTCCTGAACAACGAGCCTTGATGAATTTTTCAATTTGTTCAACTTAATTGTTTTTCTTTTTGCATCGTGGCCTAGCTACGGAGCAGTTTGGGATCCATAATGGTGGTGTAATCAGCGAGATGGTGGGGGGGGAGGTCAAGTTAGCCTCGTGGCATGTTGCAGTGGAAGGTTGGATTAATACTTTAATACTCATACTTTAGAAACGGTGCAAACATCTTAAGAGGGGGTCTTTTCAAGATAAAAACGCGGACATCTAATTGGAAAATACCTTCTCTAAACCAATCACAAAATCCGAATCCATCATCGGTCCATATTTGCGAAAATGATGCGATTTTGTCGTGAATAAGAGAGAAGTTTCAAAAGAAGTTTTGATATAACAATCATTGATTAATTTACTCACGTACAAAGAACACTTGTGTCGCTAAACTTTCTAAACGTTTTTGAAAAAACTTTATGAATTTAAGCCAATATTATCGAGCCTCAGCAGTAGCCTCGTTGGTGATTCCGTGTTAACTATGAATAAACTGATCCATGCTTCGACTCTCTTGGGTTCATTTTTCCTGGCTTACCTTGTATTGGTTCAATTTACAAGTGGTGTTTTTCTCCCGAGAGTCTGTGTAAGGCAAATGTTTCTTTCAGTTGCCCAAAATTTCAACTTTTCCTTCAAAAATTGCTGAATTGTTTGAAAAATATAGGCATGATATGACGACCTCCCTGGGAAAAGAATATTACCGCCTACAGACTGTCTTAGAGCAAAAAGCTTAAAGCTCATTTTAAATTGTACACTATTGGTTGTCCATTGATATTTGGCAGTGGTCAATGAGAAACCAGCAGGGAGAAGTTAACATTTTCCCGTTCGTTTGTATGGGAAACTGTTGATCCCACAATAATTGCTTTATAAATGAGTGCTGCACTTTTTGCGTTCATCGTACGTGTAAATTAACGATGCTGGTTAATAAATAATACGGAAGATGATTAAACGAGCGGGCCAGAAAAATGTAATGGTTTCGTTTTTTTGTGTTTACTCTGTAGGGTATACGTCAAACAATTACTAAAGCGGAGTTTAGATAAAAGATAGAAGTGCGGTTACCTGTGCCTTGTGGAATTCCATTTGGCATTGCCTTATGAATGTATGAATGGCTTCCGTCTGAATTGTTAAAGGATCCATGAAATGAATTGCTATTAGAATCACTTTTTATGTATCTCTGTACACTTCTTAAATATATGAAGACTGTTTGACTTTTTTTTATTACGTGAACAAAAAAGTGCACTTTTTAAACATTCCAAACTGATCAAGCATTTCTGGACAAGTGAGGGCGCTTTTCCTTTGATGTAAATTAAAGAAGACATGGTTCAGTTTGCATGTTTTTATATTCAAATTGCGAAATCCAAATTTGAAAACATTCCTGTGAAAAGGTGCTTGCTTGCTTGTTGCTATTGGTATATACTTACACAGCAATGATTTGCCAACGGAAATGAAATCTACGATAGCAGTGTTTTAAAAAATCTAGAAATTTTCTGTGCACAAATCATTGCAACATTAAAGCTTGGTGCCTCTGATGACATCGCAGTTTTGCTCATGAATATGCAAATGTGCATTAGTAGATATATAAAAAAAGCTCCAAAATATGGGCTAAAATTGCAAAACAAAAAAATTAAATCTTGTAAATGGAAACCCAGAGGTGCAATTCCATTGCTCTAAGTACAATTTAGTAAAATGTTTCTATTTCATGGTCCCTTTAAACGGACTAAATTCTGTCTTCTGTGCATCGTATTTGATAACTGAAAAGGTTTCGCGACTGGGCGAGCATGTGGACGGTGTGAGATTCACTCAACATTACAAAGTTTCATCATGTTTCAGGCTTCTCTTTCTTTTTGTGGAAACTGAGAGGTAGAGATACAGGGCTATTAAAATTCTGAATCGTTAAGACCATTGAGACGACCATTAGAAAAGGATTGTGATACAAAACTGTATGGTGATGCAATAAGGTTAATTTAATGTGGCCTGCAGAATGCTTGATCTAAATTTATCTCCCCACTGAACTTGATTCCATTGTTGCTTTTAACTGTGATTCACCAAATACCTGATGTTTATTGGTAAAAAAATAATTTTACTGTTTTCAGAATAATAGTCTTACTATACACACATAATCTTTGAAAGTAACGGTCACAAGGATTTCAAAAGCACAATTTCTAGATTTAAATCAAATAATAACGAAGACATTTACATGTAAATAGAAAGAAACTACTGAGTGAAATATCCAAATCAAGGGACGAAATCAGAATTCAATCCAAACTATGGGGCTAAGACCAACATTTGCGATAAAATAAATACAGAGCGCCATAAAAAAGCTTAAACATTTAAAAAGCTGAGACAAACTTGACCTAACAATAAGACACATTTGGATCCGCCATATGGATTTGATTTGATTTATGTCCACTCATCACATCAAAGGAGAAAGAAGCAAATAGCACAATACATAGGGTGAAGAATGGAGATTACCAGTGGAAGCAGGAGGTGATATGAAGCAAGGATTCTTAGCAAATAATTAAGTATTTACAAATAGGTCATTTGGGAGACATTTTGTGGTAAATTTTTCAGCATTAGGGAGACATTGGCTTTAAGGGAGACATTTCAGTGTCTCCCAATTTTCAAACTACCAGAAGGAATATTACGGTCCATATTTTGAGAGATGATGGACTAGGGTCTAAAATGAAAACATACAAAGTTTCGTTCAGATCAGACTAGGGAATATTGAATTATGGGACAGTAAAGTTAAGTTGGAAAAATTTTGTGCGTATTCTTATGGGAATGTCTCCTAATGACCCATTAGCGGTAATGATAATTATTACTTATAATTACATCATTATTTTGTAATTAAATATAAATAATTTCATTTTGGACAAAATTACAGAAAATCACTCTGCAAGTTTCTCCGCATCAGTAAGGTTAAAATCAAAATAGATGAAAAGCAATGATTACGTGTATTTGTGAATTCAGAAAAGTCAACAATGCTGCCATGGCCTTCGACCATGCATGAACAATTTACAGCGCAGAGGGGAGTACCAGAATCCTGACGTATACGCTGAGGGCGCTTACAAGCTTTTTTGAATTTATTGAAGCAAAGTATAGGCCTAAACAGAGGATATTTTATAGCATTCATTTTTAGTAAGCTTTTACCAATAGTATACATCGCTCATAATGAACCTCTTCCTATTATTTGTATCCATTTTAATGAAGTGATGTGCTCAGCAATAACAGTTTTTTGGACATACATGGTAAAAAAAATGGGAAGATTTGTATCAGTGTGGAACATGCATGGTGATTGAGTATGGTGATGGTGTATTGAGTAGGTTGAAAACTTCCAATTCTCAATCTGAAAGATTGATCAGTCCCAGAATGGATACATTTCACATTGTGAAATTAGTGGCGTGACTTCGTGCATGCCACTGGGTACACTTGCTCCCCTATGATGTCTGTGCCCCACCCTCGTGGCGTCTTCCCAACGAAACCCAGAAAGAAAGCTTATTCAACTGAAGTTCATTTGCTTGGTGCCCCTTGAAAACGTTCACACCACAAGTTTCCCCTTCAGAATTTTGACCCCTGTCACGCCACTTCTCTAAATCAACTTGGTGTGGAAGGTCTGTTGATCGTGCGCAGCAGGTTCAACGTTTGCCGCTGAGATAATGTCACTCTATATAACAGCTCTACGCATTTACTTGAATTTTGTTCGGGCTGCCTGTTCATTTCTCATTTTTTCCAGAGGGAAATGACAATTTCACCCGGCTTCTAGGTGGAGCATCACCGAATGAGGGCGTTTTCCAGTACCGTGGAGCCGTCAACGAGTGGCACACCTTCTGCAGCTTGGAGTATTCGGCAGTGCTGGGTCAGTAATACAGAAGCCGCTGCGGGTTTCTTGTGGCCAAAATTCTTTGCTCTGTCTCAGAGCCATGGCATTTGGCATGTAGGAGGAGAATTGTCCAATTGAAGAGAAAGACCATCTTGCGTCTAGCTGGTTAAAAATGAAGCACTGAGTCTGATGAGACCCAGGATGGAACCATCTCTTATTTCTGGCCCAACTTTGTCATTAAATTGAACCCAATTTCGCTTTATGATTCCAGTTGAGGCCCCTCTCCTTTGTAAACTCGCCGGGTACAGCGTCTTTTGTAGCGTCCACAAGCTGAATGTGAGCCCAGTAAATGCAAGCCTGTTGCATTCTTTGGCTGCCTTTCCGTTGGGGAAATTCGGGTTTGAACCAACATGTACGCTGGACGATGCTCTTTGGTTAACATGCGACTCGGGTAAGTTTAGGCATTTGTTCAACCCCTGCCGTTCTGTACAATATGTTTGGATACACTAATTAAGGAAAATGTCCGAAAAGCCGGATTTTGTCCCTCAACAAAATTTACTGACGTGCAGAACACGCTGGAGAGATTTTTAGTGGGCTTACAGGCTGCAATCCCTCTTTGTTTTAATACTGACGGAGTTGAGTATGTAACATCTGTTTAATAATGCTTTAGTGTGTCTTTTCCCATCGTCACACCAGTATAACTGCAGCTAAAGGTACCACCATGACCCATTTTGGACGATATAAAAACCAAATTACCCCCAGCAGAAATAACGATAGTTGGGTTACGCCACCCCGGCGGCAAACCCATTAATTGATTGAAGTAGCCCACTGGTGCTTAAATAACGTCCTTAATTGTAGTTCTGACGTACGCTCAAGTTATTAAACTAGATCATTTCTATCTCAGACCTCTGTAAGGACGGTGGACTAATGCACTGAGTGAATTAATTAGCACTACGTTCATTTATTGGAATAATCTCTTGTATAGTACCTTTTGTTACGATGCATACGGTAATCCTCGACTGAATTGCCGTTCTTTATTACGACTTGCAAACCTAGTTTCATGTTATAGGAATCGATCAAGTCCTAACATTATTTTTTACAGTGATAAAGCTTATGATTTAACATGTCGCATTCTGTATATTTCCTTCACATATCGAGATTTTGAGTTGAAACTGGAGCATGGTTACCACGAAGATGAGGGCATCCTTCAAGCTCGGTGCAACGACAAACAGCAGTGGCAACTAGTTTGTGGTGACGACTGGCTGGGCTCTCGGCATGCACATTACTTGGCCTGCCGCCATCTTGGATACCCTGTGACTGTTCGAGGTTCAGCCTTTGTTATGCCCAAATTTATTTTGAGGAACACTTACTCTATTTTTCTGCATGGTGCATTCTGCAGTGGACAGGAGGACAACCTAACTAATTGTTATCTTTCGCAGCATCACTCGTCTTGCCGAAATTACGCGGGATTGATGTGCACTAACCAAAGTAAGCAGTTTTAAATCCCCGTCATTGATTTCAAGAATTGGGTTTGTCATGTTCCCTAAGTTAAACGGCTGTTGTTGAGCGAAACACGACCGTTACACTGAGCTGCCAGGAACAGATTCCCATCGGCAATGGAAAAAAATTTCACCTTATCTTCAACCTAGGGATGATATGTAAGTTGTGACCCTATAATGCAACATACAGATGTGTTAAAGTACCTTTCTATTCATACTGTGGCTCTGAAACTCATCAGGAGAAGATGATCTGTCGGATTTTGTTAGTTTAAATGATTTATTTTAACCGATTGTGGAAGGTCTTGTCTGAAGTACACGGAATGTCGGAATCTCTTCTAAAATCAGAGTGTAGATGTACTGTGGAGGAAGACGGAAAAAGAGAGAGAGAGAGAGAGAGAGAGAGAGAGAGAGAGAGAGAGAGAGAGAGA